CTTGATGTACATAAAGGTCTTGTAGCTTCTTCTGTAACCATGATGTCTAATATGTGTATTGCTCTTTCTTCATCATAATCAACGCTATCCATAGCGAGCATTATTACTCTTTCTGGCACTGATTTATATTTTTCCACTAATCGCATTTTCACTAATAAATCATAATTTAGAAAAATTAAAATATTGAAATTAATAGTTTAATTCTTTGTGATCCGAATCATATTTGATGTTTTATCCTAGATTTATATTTGTAAATTTTAAATTACTTTTAAAATTTACTTCATAATTTAATTATATTTTCATATTTTATACTCAATACATATATTTTATACTAATAATTCATCAATATTGATATTATGTCTATAAAACTAAATTATAATATAAAAAATACATTAACAATAAAACAAGATTTTCATATGAAACTAAAAAGAATTAAAATATTGATATTATTAACATTATCAAAATATTAAATATATTTACTTTTATTTTTTTCTTCTAAACTTTTCATACGTGGTGGTGGGGTAGGTGCAATTTGTTGTTCTTTTTTTATCTGAAAAAATATATAAATATTTTATCTATAATATTATGAAATATTTATAAAATAAAATATATTAACATTATAAATATAAAAAAATATAAATATATAATTATAAATTATACAAAAATATATAATATATAATTATAAAAAAATATTAATTTTTTATATGATGTACAATTAAACATAAAAAGATTTGATATATTACTTGTTCTTCTTCCTTTTTTCGTAATGATTTAGGAGCTATGGGATTTCGTTTCTCATAACCCAAATCAATTAATTTTTCAGAAGCTTTTTGAACATTGTTATCACTTTGTTCCAAAATATCAAGCAACATAGTTTCTTCTACTTTTGGAAATACATTTTTCAGGTACCTGCAATGTAGTATTTTAGTACGTAATATTTATTAAAACTATTTTGTAATACACATGATATAAATATAAACAGTCTACAATATAGAATGAATATTGTGAAGATTTACTTATAAATTAAAAAATAATAATAATAATGATTATTAAAGAAAAATGTATACATTAAAATATCCATTTAGTGATTAATAACTAAAAATTATTAAATTATAATAATTAATAATTAATAATTAATTAATAAATTATAACAATTGTATGCACATATAATTGATAATTTGATAATTTGAATAAAAATATTATTTCGAATTTATTAAAATTAGTATAATAATTAGTATAATATAAATCTAAAAAAAATAAAATTATATATTTTAACTACAATCTCAAATATAATATTTCAAATTATAATATAACGTGCACATATTATCATGCTTTAAACCACATTTTTGTTCAATAAATGTGGTTTATTGTATATATGGTTTATTGTATAAATGAGTTTTATTATATTTATATAATAAAATTATATAATAATTATATAATAATATTATATTAATATTTTTTTTCATTTTGTTTGATAATATTTATTATTAATTAAATATTTAAATAATTGAAACTTATATTATTGTTATTTTTCTTAATTTACATGTATAATACTGAATATTTTTAAAAAACTCATTTATTATTATGAAATTTTTATTATAACAAACAAATAACATAAAAGGAAAATATGAATTTTTATTATAATTATTAAAAATTAAACAAAAAATGCATTGATGATATGAAACCAACCTATCTATGATCTGTGTAAATTTTATATTATCCAACATATGGTGTATTGTAAACCAGGAAGAAACTGAAATGAAAAATGAATTCGAAATAACATTATATATAAAAAAATTAAATATAAAAATAAATTAAATATAAATTATAATAAGAAAAAACGAAACATACAAATTAAATTATTCAATAATTTAAAAAAAATTACTAAAAAATTATTGGTTTTTTAATATCATTCTTTAAAAAACTACTCAAAATATAGATTTATCTACTATATAGGATGTAAATTTTTGCAACATATTACTATTATTGCTTAGTCAAACATTTTGCATTCTCACATTGATTAATTGCAATATTATCACTTATAAAATTATACTTAACAAATTTTAACACATTGCAGATAAATAAATTTATAATTTCTAATTCTAATTTTTATTTATTAATAAATTATAGAAGATAAAAATTGAATTTGATTAAATGAGAAATATTTGATTGTATAAATAGTCTGCAATGTGTAATAACACATGCTATCACTACACAGCATTGTATATACTTATGTACAGAAAATGTACAGAAAATACATCAGATATTCAAAATAAACTAATATGTATAATGTTTTTTTTGCTATCTGATATATTTCTTTGCAACTATCACAAGATACAATATCAACATCTAGCATCCATATCTGGTAAAATTTAAATTATTAATATAGGAAAAACCTAAGTTTCATTTTTGGGGAGTTAGGGGCTGGCCGAGTCCCACGAGGTGGACTCAATGTTAAAGTTGCATGTATAGCATGTGGTGGTAATCGCCATCTTGGTATTGCATAGTTAGAATGCACTCCCATAGGTGTGCATGGTCCTGGCGCACAAAGAGGATTCTTTTCCACTTGTAAAGCGCTGACAACCAAAGCTGCTCTGTTATGGTATCTGAAAGATATCAGCTACCACCTTAGCACTCTAATTGTATAGTGCTAATGAAACTCAATGAAAAAAACAAACTAATATATATCAATACATATCAGAAATATAACTAAATATAAAAAATGTGTATATTAATATAATTCAAATTTAAGGATATAAAAATTTATATTAATGGACATAAAAGAAGTTAACCAAAATTTTTGTTAATAATGATATATGATAATATAAGGATTTAAATATATATTATAATTTATACATATACATATATATTTATGTATATATTTACTTACTTTTTTAAAAGAAGTCGAATATGAGTATCAGAAACTGTTGGAAACATTGCATTGATTTTAGCAACTTGCAATTCAGAATCTGAATTCTGTGTTAAACATGTTTCCATATTTTTTATTGGTGTTGAAGATCCCAATGTCATATCTCCAAGCCTATTTGTCATTGCACTAACTGATTTTAGAGATAATGGAGTTTTCAGATCCTACATAAATTATTTCCTTAATTAATTATTATATTATAAATTAAATATTGTTAAATATTTTATATTTAATATTAAAATATATAAAATAATATATTTAATAAATAGATAATAATAAAATTAATATAAAAATATTTAATATAAGTTTCATATAAAATAATATTATTTATATCATTATTTATTTTTATATTGATAATTTATATAAAAAAATATAAGAATAATTAATTCAAAATTTGACTTGATTTTAAGTTAAATATCAAAATATCAAATAATATGTAATAATGCATATAAATTACAAATTACTTACCTGCAAACTAGGGGGTAAAAATGCAAGTTGTGGATTATGATAAGGAGACGGTGTAGGATAGATTTGAGGAGCTCTATGAGCTCCTGCATAACCTAAATGTCCACCTCCGTTTCCTCCAGTCTATTTATTTTAGTTGTACATATTATATTTTATCCAAATGCAGCATGTGTATATGATAAGAATACATATATTGGTAGTGCAATTAAAATTTTAATATATGCATGAATATAATTTTAAAAACTCATATTTTTTCATATATAAAAATATATATGTTCATTATATGATGATTTAATAAATCTAACATATTTAATATATAATAGAAATTATCTACTAACCTGCATAGGTATATCTTGGGAAGTAATAGTTGTAGCAGAACTCAGTGCCATTGAATTTTGTGATTGTATATACTGAGAATACTGCCAATATCTTACTCTTGGATCTTCCCATGTTGTTGTACGATTAAAATGATTTATAAAATATCTGTAAATATTTTATATATATTTATATATTAATTAATAATTAAATTATGTTATTATACTATTTATCATGTAATAATTTGATCATAATTATTTATAATTATTAATATATTATTATATCCCAATAAAACAAAAAATATTAATGAAGAATAATTATATAATAATATTCTTTTTTATCAATTTATATTTAACAAACAGTTAAATGACGAAACAAATCATGATAATTGCGTAATATTAGTTATTTATAATAAATAAATAATTTCATTAATATTTGTTTTTTCTAATATCAAATAATAAAATAACATAAGTTTTTATAACAAATGTACATACGGACGACCACTTCGAATATCATATCTGCATTCCCAACCAGGTGGCAATTGACTTCTATCACTTTCTTCAGCCATCTTTACGTATTTTGATAACTTAAAATAAATTGTTCCGCACCTAATATTGCATATTTATTATTATAGTTAGAATTGATTTTAATTATATGAGAATACAAACAAATTAATTAAAATTAATTATTATATATAATATTATATTATATAATATTATAACATATTTTACCAATCATTAAACATAAAAATTTGAAATATTATTAATTCTAAATATATTTATATGTTAAAAATATATTATTTGACACTAAATAATTGAAATTTATTCTATATTATATATTCAGATAATATTTAATAATATTTTAATATAAAATAATATAATTAAGTGCTTTTAATTTAATAAGATTTAAATAATTTTCATTCTTCAAACATATATATAAATATTTATTAATATTCATTTTATATAAAATATAAAATATTGATTTAAATAAGTAGAATTATTTTATAAAATACATAATTTAAATTAAATTTTAAATTTTTAAATTTAATTTTTCATATTGATTTATTTTATTAGATTTTATTAATTCTTACATCATTTATATTCTATTTAAAGAACAATAAATTATACAACAAAAAATTTCTTTAATAATAGAAATATTTTAAAAAATATCAAATTATTATTTCATATAATTACATAACATTTTTTTACATTGAATATAATAAAAATTACACAGATTGTTTAAGTTTGATATTTATTACATATACATTTATTACATGTTTTTTGGATATTTTATTAAATAATAAATATTGCAATTTGTTCTTTAAAAATAATTAAATTTCTAATATTAAATATCTATTTGTTTTTAATGTCACATAATGAATATCATTCCTTTTTTTTCTTCAGTATAAAATCATTATACATACTATATATCATTCCTAAACCAATAATACTAAGAGCTGTAGCTTGAGCTGCAACTCTTAGCTGTGTTAAATATATAGAAGGATTTACTGTTTTTGTTTTCCATTTATATACACCTATTCCACATATAATAGATAAACCTGTTAAACCTATAAAAAAAATCTTATTTATTTTCATAAAATAATATTAAATTTGAAAAATTTATTCAGATTATTTATATTTTAATTATATTATAGTGAAAAATAAAATAATTATTATTAAAAAATACTGATTTTTATTATTTTTAATATATGTTTTCTTTTATATTCTTAATTTATTGACAGAGTAAATAAACATACAATAATGAAATAATAATTAAAAACATACCAGCTACAGCAAATGGAGATCGTTTTACTAGTGCATATAATTTTTCTGTCATGGACTTTTCATTTTCTAATGTTTGTCTAAGAGCTTCTTCTGGAATTTCCATTAATTTTGTTTGTTTCCAAATATTTTCATCCATTGTTCACCTATATAATATTATTTATAAATTTAATAAAAAAAATATAATGCACATATATAAGATATTTTATATGAATATTATATATTACATATAATCATATATATTTATCTATGTTATTATATATATAATATAATATATAAATATATATAATGTTTTTATAAAATGATATTAGTAAAATGATTTTGAAAGTAATATTTTTAAAACATATATGTATAATTTATTTAGATGTACATGTAATATTATTAAATAGTTATTAATTAATATAAATTTATATAATAATATAATTTATAAATAGATATATGTAGTACATATAATAAAAAATACAATAAAAAATAAAACTTAAATAAATTAATAAAAAATAATAATATATATAATACAATGTTTAATAAAAAATAAAATTAAAAATCACTTATACTACATATTTATATTCATTCAATTAAATATTTTATTTTAAATTTTAAAAATTTTTTTTAAAAATAAAAATATTAATAATATATAATTACAATAATTCTTTTAATGAATTAATTTTGCATTTTGTCATATAATATTGCATATCTTATATATAAATTTTATATTGAAATATAATTTTTTAAATTTCTATTATAAAACGTTCTATTATTATAAAATATATATATCCGTTCGCCTATACATATACATATATTTAAAACGAAGACAGACGAAGGTGATAATAAACAGAACAGTTTCACTTTATCTATATCTCTATCTAATCATTTTCAATTGCTTTTAATTTAATAAATAAATTTTGATAAATTTTTGTACGATTTTTGAACAATTTTTGTTTTGGTTTCTCTTTCATGAATATATTAACATATATATATATATATTTAATATCAGCATGTATATAAACCAAATACTCTGATGATATTTAAAATGTTTCGAAATAAGAATTTTATTTCATAATAACTTTAAATTAATATTTACTTTGTACTAAATAATAATTTGTACTAATAAAATTCATATTGATATTTTAAGATATATATAAAAAATGATTTATATTATTTATAATATATATTTATATATCTTTGTTCAATTTTTTAAGAATGAAAAACAACTTTAATATAAAATCATTTTGGTAGATATATCATATTTTACATTATATTTTACATAAAAATTAAATTCATTTAATTATAATAAGTTGTGATTATTTTTTATAGTTTTTATAAAAAATAATATTTATCAAATATATAAATTTCGTCTTAAATTTATCACTTATTTATATATGAAATAAAGATTTTACCTTTATTATTTAAAAATACATTCACAAATAATTTATAACATATGTAAATTTCCTCACCGTTCTATGTCTTATGACTGTCATGACGCAACTGCACTTATTTCATGTATGAATACCCTACCAGACTGTGAATTTCTCTATTTTTTTATATATGTTAAAGATATTACACATTTTAAATAGCACAACTCTTTTTAACTTTATAAATTTTTTAAAATTTTATAAAATTTAATATACAAACATTACATACAATACACTATCTTAAATAAAGTATTTACATAGATATATTATAAATACCTTATAAAATCACTAATAAAATTCTATATTGACAATAATTATATAATGATTAATTTTTATTAGATTAATATTTATAATTTTTTAGTAATTATCTATTTTTATAATTTATTAATTTTTAATTAAAAACGAACTTGTATTTTATAGATTAATTTAATGTTTAAAGAAATTTTTATACGAAATTTAAACTTTTTAATTTTGATTTTATTAAATATATTATATATTTATTATATATTAAGTATTATTATATATTTATATATTAAATAATTAATTATAAAGTTTTAAAATTATTTGTAATTTTTGTAAAAATTGTTTTATTAAAAGCTTAAGTTCAATGATTTAAAATATATAACAATATTATATGCATTAATATTATATGCATTACTATTATATCCATACAAATTCAAATTTAATAATCATAATATATTTGTAAATTTATTTTTATTTCTTGTTTAATCATTTTATATTTATATTAATATTAAAATTATACTATATTTTTTATTAATTAACAATAAAATAAAGATCATATATTAAAATTTCTTTATATATATGGATTTATATAAGTATATTCATGTAAGTTACTTATATATATATCTATATAATACTTATATCAGTAAAACAAGAATTTGTCAGATTTTATTTTACAGGATTTTAACAAGTTAAATAAACTGTGATTAATATTATGATTTGAAATGAAATTATATTCTCCTAAATTTATAATAAATTATAAAATTAAGAAATATGTATTTAAAATTAAAGTATACTAACCTGTTAACTATCATATTATGAAAGTATTTAAAAAATATTTATTATTAAGGCTTTTTAAAGTTAATAAACTTACATTTGTTATTATTTTAAAGTAACATCTTTTATATTTTATTCAAAACATAAAACTTTAATCATAATTATGGCTGCAATAAGACATACATTACAAAGAGAAGTATTCACACCTAGCGATGAAAAATTATTAAGTATATGTTATGTAAGCAAGGCATATAAAAAAAAGAAGATGAGTTTTTTATGTTTAATTACAACTACAGATTCACCAGCATCTTTACTTTTATATCAAGTAAAAAAAAATGACAAAAATATATTTAAGAAAAAACAATCTTGGTCTTTAAGCGATATACAAATTGTGGATGGTGTAAAAAATGATTCTATGGATATAGAATTACATATTGATAAAGTATATAAATGGTCAGTGACAACAGCACAAGAACGAAGAACATTTATAAGTAATTTATATACTTATTCATGTAATTTAGCTCAAAGACCACAATTTAGAAATATTCCCAAAGAATGGCTCATAGATCCTAGTTCATTAAAAGAAAGTGATAGTATCACTTTCACTCCAGGTAAAAATAATATTTTTCTTTTTTAATATTATAAATATTATTATATTATAATATAATATTATATATATACATATTTTGTAATCAATTTATTATTTATTTGTGTTACAACAATTTGCATTTTTTTATGATTATATATATATATATAATAATTTTAATTAATTTAATATTGCAATATTTTTAGAACTATTAACGTCCCCTATTTCATCTGATTATCAACCTATCACTGAAAAAGAAGCTGCTGATTTAGAACAAATGATGGAAGATTGTGAATATGCAGTTTCTAATGCTGAACTTTTTATGGAAACTCTTTCTAAAGATCTTTCAATTCTTGATGGGGTAAAATTATAATTTTAATAATTTTCAATAATCCATTATATATTTTATTCAAAATCTTTTTTATTAATAAATATAGGAAAATGTGCAATCAGTTTTGGCATCAGAAGCTCGTGTAACTCAATTAATGAATAGTATAGAAATAGCAATAACTGAAGCTTCTATTGTTGAAGCTCGTCTAGCTGCTTATGATGAGGCCCTTGGTAGGATTAGAGAAGTTATGGCACGTGTAGGTCAAAAAAATCAAGCTATTCATACAGCTAATAATAATGCACGACTTTTATTAGATCAATTGAACACAGTCATTGTAAGTAATTTTCATAAAATTTATAATTTAATTATTTTATTCTAAAAAATTAACTATATATAATAGTTATATTAATTTTACATTAAAAAATTTAACATATATATACACAATTATCATTTTATATATATATTAAAATAATATATATTTTTTATAATAATATATTTTATTATATATATAAAGTAAATATATTTTTTAATTTTTATATTATATGTAAAATTCTAATTTTATAATAATTTTAATTCTAATTCTTTTATAAAATAATTTTATAAGTCACAATTAGATATTTCATCAACTCATCAACATATTTTGAGTGAAGCTGAGCTTCCAGGAGAAAAAGATGTACTTAGCCAAGCAGGTGCTGCTCTTTTAAAAGCAATAACAGCTCCTCTACCACCAGGACTTGATAAATTAAGTGCAGTAACAGAACAAAAGAGACGACTTGATAAACTTAGAATAAAATTTTCTGTGATTGTAGCTAGACATCTAAATAATCTCTTTATACATTTGGTATATATATATTTATATAATATATATAATAATATAGATTTAATTATTATATGAATAATTAAAATATCAATAATATATAATATAATATTAAAATATATAATAATATAATATTAAATTATAGTGTTTTTATAGGGTAATGATATTGGAGATATGTCAACATCAATGACTGATTTAATTCTTCCAACACATCAAGCAGTTCATTATGAACTTGAACCATATACAGAATTAATGCAATTATTAAGAGCATTAGATAATAAAGCTTTTGTACAATTAACTAAAGTTTATACAGATACAATGAGTAAACTATATAAAAGAGATTTGAAAAGATTTTTTGAGGAAGCAAGAAATAAGCTTATTTGTAAACGTTTTCAAGGTATATATTATATTTTTCTCTTTTCTATTATATTTTAAATTTTTATATTATAATATTATATTATAATTTTTAACAAAAAATACTTTTTAAGCAAATACATCAAAATCTAGTGGTCAAAAAGTAGAAGATTTATTGAATCCTGCACCTATTTGTTTATTAAGTGGTGAAATATGGACACCTGTAGGAGAAGGAAATCTTTTAGATTCAGTTCTTGATTGTATGCTTTCTCAAATGCAACCAGTTTGTCTTGCAGAACAAGCTTTTTGCATTTCTTTTCTACAATTAGATTCTGTTCTTTCTCCATCAAAAGTATGTAAATTATTTTAGTAGAAATTTATTAAAATATTTAAAAATTAATTACATCTATTTGTGTTTTATCTAAATATATATCTAAATAGAGTAGTGAAATGGAAGAAACAGATAATGTTAGCAATGGGGCTGCAAGTCCAGGATCAGTGACTTCTACAGCAAGTAAAAAATTAGAAAGACAAGTAAATGAAGAAGTACGTGCAACAATGGCAGCTATATTTCCATCACTAGAAAGTGAATTAAATAATTTTATTGCCTTTTTGGATAAAATAGATAGTTTGTAAGTCTTTATAAATTTTGATTTTTAATTTTTTTTTTAAATTTATTTAAAGAAAACAACTAATGAAAAAAATTTCAGTTGGTGTATGTATGTCTTAGTACGTTTATCACAACATGTTATGTCAGCACAAGATATTGGTTCATTTTTATCTATGACATTTGCTTCTGCTCTAATTCAAGTTAAAAGAGCTTTTGATAAATTCATGCAAACACAATTACAATCAATTCTTTGTGATACTAAAGTTAATCGTAGAAATAAATGTGGTATATTACCATATGTAGAAAATTTTGAATCATTTGCACGAACAGCAGAAAAAATTTTTAAAAATTCAGATAGAAAAATTGATCTTGAGAAATGGTATACTAAATTAGTAAGTACAATGTTTGATGCTATTGTTATTCATAGCAGGGAACATCATAAAACTCCACAAGAAGTTATTAAAATGGGTAAGTTATTAAATATATATTAATTTTATTTTTTGATGAGTTATTAAATATATATTAATTTTATTTTTTAATTATTCAATAAATTATTCAGTAAATTAAATATTGTATTGTATTATTTTCAGAAAATTTTCATCATTTATATGATCTTTTATCACAATTAAAAATATCTGTTCTTGATCACGAACGAAAGGAAGCTAAACAAAAATATCAGGATGCTTTACGGGCATATGTTACACAATATTTTGGAAGACCTTTGGAAAAACTTAATGTCTCTAATTTACATTTTTTAAATTTATTTTACATTTTTACATTTATAATTTCTTTTTATCTTTATATATTATAATATATAACATGTATTTATAGTTATTTTTTGAAGGCGTGCAAGCAAAAGTTGGTGCTGGAGTTAAAGAATCTGAAGTTAGTTATCAAATGGCCTTTAGTAAACAAGAACTTAGACGTGTTGTAAAAGAATATCCCGCCCGAGAAGTTAAAAAAGGTTTAGAAAATTTATATAGAAAAGTTGAAAAACATTTGTGTGAAGAAGAAAATTTATTACAAGTAATTTTAAAATATATATATGTTATTTTTCTTTTTCTGTACTTAATTATTTATTATATATTTATTTATTTAGGTCGTTTGGCGTGAAATGCAAGGTGAATTCATTGCACAATATATTTATATAGAAGAATTAATTCAAAGATGCTATCCAGATAGTATGGTAACTCTTGAATTTACTATACAAGATATTTTAGAATTTTTTTCAGAAATAGCTCGATCTCACTAAAAAATTTGATAATTTAAAAATTGTGAAATTTTATCTATTAGAAACAATTATATTTATTAGATTTAAATAACATATTAGCAAAATAATAATTTTTTCTATAAATAAAAATGTAAATATTTAATTTTTATTATTTAAACTTTTGTTAAATTTAAATCTTTTTGATAAATAAGGACATAATGAATTTATTTATTTAATGAAATTTAATTTAAATATTTTATTTCTTAATAATTTCTTAATAATTTTTCAATATTTTTCAAAATGCATTAAAATAATTTTAAGTTATACAATTTTAAATACAAAAATGTAAACAAAATAAAATATATATTTTAAATCACCAGAAAATATTTCCCTTTTTCTTTTTATATATATATATACATATAATAAAAATTAAATATACTATAAATAGAAATATTTTATTAGTTTTTACAATACAATAATTATATTTGCTATATGTGCTATAATACTATATTTAAATTCATTTTATTCAGAATCTTTATCTTTTGGAGTTGGTGGAAGAAAGTTAAGCCAAAGTACACCAGTTATTCTACCCTAAAAATTAAAATATGAATATTTTAAATATTTTAAAATTAAAATATAAGAATAAATATAATTTAATCAAATTTAAAAAACTTATATTAATACATACAAATGCTATAGTTGCAACAAGTATAACAACACCAGCTATAAATTGTATATTATATTTAGTTCGAGCTTTAGCATTTGCTTCTTTCCATGAGCCACATGGTACAAGCACTTCATCCATAGATGGTGGTTTAACATTATCAGGAATTTTATTACCATGATAAAATCGTATATCTTAAAAAATTTTTAAAATTAATATTTTAAAACTTTTATAAGTAAAAAGTTAGTATAAGTAACTTTTATAAGTAAAAATGTTTTTTGTAAAATTATAATTTTAATTGAAAGTATTAATAAATTGAATCAAATAAAAAAAAATACATATATATATAAATTAGATTTTAAAATTATTTACTATATATTTTTAAGCAATATCAAATAGAAGAAATTAATATTATGTAAGGTTTCTTTAATAATAAATTATTTCAAATTATTTAAAATATAAATATTGTTATATAATAATATTATAATTATTAACTTACTACTTCTTGTGTTTCGAGTAATTGATTGGAAAAGATATCGTAACATTTTTATTCTTTATTATTCAACTTTTAATACTTAATACGTAGATTTTCGGACAGCATTAAAGAGAAGGTTGATGAAATAAAACGTTCAATACTTATTGCGCATGCGATTGTTATTAACATACAATAGCTAGATAGAAAAATCACTTGATAATTCTGTTTCATAGAATCATAAACGAAGAATAAAATAGATGTAACATTTGTCTCATAGGATATTAGGATTCCTTTTCAATTTTATAGTGGATGATTCTCAATGATTTGATTCAGATTGAAAATATAAATATATTAATAATAATGATTGGAATTGAAAGTAAATTTCAATAAATAAGAAATAAAAAAAATATTTTGTTACATGATTATATTTACATAAATTATTATATTACTATATTATAACTATTATATTGTAATACATTATAATGAGACTAATATCTTTATTTTTTACATTAAAGATTAATATATATTCTAATTAAAAAAGAAAATAATAAAATTATATTTAATGACATTTTATAGTATGAATCAAGAGCTTCAAAGACAGGATAAGGTAAAGTAAGAATTGAGAATCAATGTCATTTCAGTATCATTTTTGAAATTTTAAAGAAATATTTTTAATACTCATAAAATGATGCTGATGATGATCAATTTTTATTCTATCTTTATTCCTCTCTTGCTATCTTTATATTTTTATTATGTTATCTTTATTTTATAATTTCATTTATGATATTTTAGACATTTTAAATGTATAGCGCTTTTTAATTCATTTCTGTCTATTTCTTCTCCTTATCTATATTTCTGCAAAATTTATCCTCAAGAGATACTTCCGTTATCATATAATAGTAATAAAAAGTTAACAAAAAAAAAATAAAAATATTTGCGATTCCCATATATTTTTATTTTTTATCAAATATTCAATTAATTTTTGCTTTATTATATAACATTTATAATTACATATTAAAAATTGTTTGTAATGAAAATTTTTCAGCATATTTCAACAGATATAAATGTTTTAAACAATTACATAAATTTAAGTCAATAAGTATTTTATTTTTAAAAAATTGTATCTAAAATATTAAATTTTATATTTATACGCAATATAAATAAACATAGATAATTCTATTTTTTTTTGTTAAATAGTGATTACAAAAATAAATAATGAAAATACTTATAATTGGATATTTCTTCAAATAGACGATATTTATAATATTTTTAATTTATATAACAAAAAGAGACATAATTGTTTTACATGTTCTATTTTATATTTTTGATATTTTTTACATTTAATTTGTTTTTGGACGTATATTAATACAATGCCAATTTTGTTATTTGGTTTTATACATTTACATTATATTATAATGTATGGTTTTAGCAATATAGTTCAAGAAATAATGCAATTTGATTTTTCTTGTACATTTCCATCTGCTTTTTCAATTTCAATTAATAGTGTATGAAAAATATCTGCAACAGACTGAAGCAATATTAAAAAATTAAATTAAAATTTTTCTAAATAATTCAGAAAAGAAAAAAAAAGAAACAAATAAAATAAGCTTACCTCATTTTGTTTTGCACTTGTTTCTAAAAAAGCTGCATGCCAAGAGTCTGCCAATCGCTTACCTTGTTCTGTTGTTATCATTCGGTCAACATATAAATCTGTTTTATTTCCTACTAATACAATTGGAACACTGAAATTTATAAAGAATATTTTTAAAATATTATTATTACTAATTTTTTTATAAATTAATAACATAAATAATAATATGACATACTGGACTTTTCCTGTTATATCCAATAACTTGTCATAAATAATTTGTACAACTTCAAAACTCTTAGCACTGGTTATGCTATATACTAAGACATAACCATGAATGTCCATAGAATACTGTGTTGGAAATATACTATATTCATCTTGACCTGCTGTGTCTACCAATTTAACTTCATAATCTTGACTATTTACTCGAGTACTTTTTGTAAACGCTGGAATATACATTCAAATTATTTGTATAAGAAAATAAATTAAAATAAAATAGTAGAACCCCCACATCTTTTAAATCTTTATATCAAATTTTTAATAAATTGAATTAATCTTTATTAACAAAAAGCTTACATTTTTTTTATTATTATATGTAATTTGAAGAAAAATTTAATGATAAGATGTAAGGTGCTACTATATTACATATACAATTATAAATAAATTTTGTATAATTTTTAAATCTTATATAGAATAAAAAAACTAATAACTCAAGAATTCATGCATATTGCTAATAATATATCATGCTGTAACAATATTAATTTTGTAATGTTAATAGTACTTCCTAAATTATATACAAATCGCACATAATGTAAATTAATTCAATTAATAAAATATTTTCTGTACTTGAACATTACTTGTATATAAAGTACAATAAAATAAAATTGACTAGTATTTCATGAAAACCAAACAAATTCATGAAGATCTCCAAATTTTTATATTATAATTCTATATAACACAATTAAAATTTTTAATTTATTTGTTTGTTTAATGTGTAATGTTAATTATGAAATTATTAAATAATATATCAATTAATTATTAAATAGACAAAGTATATGTTATTTATGTTGTATAAGTAATATATTTATATATATTTTTCATTTAAATTATATTTATTTTTTAAATGAAAAATTATTAAATCTACATAATCTGCACATATTTTATTTAACTTACTTATTTTGCAACAGTAAAACATTTGAAATCACAATAATGCAAAAAATATATAATATTAATTAATATTTACAATCAATATTAATATTAATATCTTAAAAAACAAACAAGAATTTTATATATATATATAAAAAATATTTTATATATATATATAATATTATATATAAAAAAAAAGTTTAATTATTGCAAAAAATTAGAGTTAACTTACTTAATAATAATTTTAACTAGTTTCTTTGAACATAAGAATTTTGAATAATTAAATAAGCAGAAATTTCATTAATAATTTATAAAATAAAAATGAAATATAAGTAAAATATATAATAATATATAAGTAAACACTTTTTAAAATAATTTTTTAACTTTTTTTAATTATTAATTTAAAATATATAATAATAATATAATAAAAAAATATATATATAATAAATAAAAAAAAATAATTTTAGTTATTTTACATGTAAAATAATCTTATTAAAAGCAAAATTTTTAAATACAACATAAATATTAAATCATGAATGTTATATATAATATTAAATTATTACCTTAATTATTGTAAACAACAGTTACTAAAATATATAAATTAATATGTTCATATATCATGGAGAAAAAGTATTGTATATAGCATATGAATACATATATAATTAAAAAAATGTTATCTATAAATACAATTAAATTTTAAATTTTAATAAACTAAATATATTATAATTTATATAGAGTGAATTTAAAAGAATAAAATTTATATATTTAAAAAAAAAAAGAAAAAATTCTATTATATTTTTATAATTACTTTTTACTATTATTAATGTGTAAACATTTATATATGTTATAAATATATATATATATATAAAACCAAATTTAAAAAAATCTTATTATAATAAAAATTATAAAAATATTAAAAGAGATATATAAGGTTATATAAGAAAATTTTTTGCAAGAAATTAATACTTAAAATTAATATATATTATTAATATATTTTATATTTTATATTTATATTTTATATTATATTATATTTATATTTTATATTTTATATTATATTATATTTATAATATATTATTAATATATTATTAATATATATTATAAATTAATTTTTAGAGAAGGGGGGGGAGGAAGGGAGAGAGAAAGAATCTTTTAAAAATTTATATTCAATTTTGAAACTGAAGTATTAAAAAAATATATCTTTGAAATATAGAAAAGTAAACTTTAACTTTGTCTTGCATAATTTTCTTATCTGAGTAAAATTTCTATTGAATAAAAATAAAATGGATTTAATATATTCATCAACTTATCAACAAATTATCAACTTTTTATAGATTCTTTATATTATAAATAATAAAAATTAAAAAGAAATATTAATTTAAAAAGTTGATAATTAATTTTAATATAAATATATTAAAGATTTTTATTTTTATTTCAAAAAATTTTTTTTACTCATTAAAGTACATTCAATAAAATATTTACTCATTCAATAATAAGTTTTCATGAATCTATTGCTTGTTTACAGCATGAATTACTAACAAAATGTGCAGAAAATACTACTAACAGTGTCATTAGAAATCTTTGAAGTAGCGTGTAAGACGATACAGGTACTTCTTACTATTTTCTATAGTAGGATCATATGAATCCACGAACTGTCCCTCGACGAATTGTATACTCAGTGATGACTTGCCTATTAAGATTAATAAAAAAAATTGTTATTCAAAATATATTTTTAAATATCATATTGTATATATAAATACTTTAAATATATAAATATATTTATATAAATATTTTTTAAAATTGAAATATAATTTTTACTTTTATGATATAATAAAATTTCATTTTTTATTTAATTTTTAAAGATATATACAAATTTAATTAATTATAAATAATAATTATTAATAATAAATTTAATTATAAATAATAATTATTAATAATAAATTTAATTAATAATTAATAATTATTAATTATATAATTATTTATCAAATAAATTAGCTTTATTTACATAATTTATTAAATTATTAAAATAATTTAATTACAATAACAAATTATATTACCTACGGATCTATAACCCATAATAGCTATTTTTCTTTGTTTTGGTGGCATTTTTTAGCATTTATAAATACAAACGCTATGACTGTAATCCATAAAGTCTGGTACATGCTCCAATTAAAATCTATATATAAAATAAGAATAAGAAATGTTAAAATAATATAATTTTAATATAAATATATAAAAATATATTTTTTGTTAATAAATAAATGAAAATAAAATCCATTTTTATAAATTATTTTAAAAATTATCAGATTATAGCATTGTGATAAAAAAATTCTAACAAACCTATATATATATCATACATAGTCTACAAATATCATACATAATATTCTTAATTCATAATCTTAAATTCATATTAAAATAATATATATTATAAATATTATATATTTATTAATATATTTTATTTATTATTAGAAAAATTTTATTTCATAAAAATAATTAATTATAATTTAAATCTCAATGATAAATAAAACAAAGAAATCATAGACATATATATGTATATATTTAGAAATCATATTTGATATATGAAAATAGTTGATTACTTTTTTAATAAATATTTTTCAAAAAATTATTAAATAGAGAAAAAAGGGGGGAAAAAATACATATAATTTACATAAATATATGCATATATATTCTCTCATTATGGAGGTATTATAATGGATAATAGACTTATTAATTATATTGCAAAATTACATACTTTTATTTTGTAATGGAAGAATTGCACTCATCATAAATATATTTTTTATCGAATTACTATTTTATTATACGAATTATTATTTATTATGCATATACACATGCACTACTCACCAAAAGAGAAGAAATACATTAGATGCGTTTCATATTAATCAACATATCGACTTCTATTATATATACATCAAATAATTAACCAAATAAAAAAGTTGATATTTATGTGACGTTTTAAATACTACTGGAAAAAAAAATATATGTATATGTATATTTATATTATTTTTGTATATACTACGATAGTTTTAAATTAGTATCTTACATAGAAATGTAATTTTTGTAAGAGGAAGTTAGAAGCAAACGATGAACTACGCACTTTGAATATTATGTACAAAGAACTTCACACTTCGTTTAACATTAATTACCATTATATATTTTAAAACATAATCGCTAAACTTTTAAATATTTAAGAAAAATATGCTTATAACGTTCTCTCATTTATCAAATTATATTTATTAAAAAATATATAATAATAGATATGACTATGAATGCGTACTAGCGGATATTTCAAACAAACACGCCATCTATTCGAATAATATAGAAATTAATAAATTTAAATTTTTTGTATTTCATTTCTTTTGTAATTATTTTGTTATTTAATTTTTATAATATATTTTTTTGTAAAATATTTATTTATTTATTTATTAATAATAGATATTATTTATTATTAATAAATTTATTTATTTATTTATTAATAATAAATATTATTTATTATTAATGAATATTGTGAAATAAATTAAAGTTGTAAATTACAAATTTTATTAAAATGAAATTCTTTAATATCTACAATAATTAGAATTTTTTATTCAGTAAAATTTTTATTTTATTCGGTATTAAAATTATTAATTAATTATTAATTAATTATATTATATAATTTTATATATTTATTAAATTAATCAGTAATATGTATTTCAAATCAATTAATGCGTATTTTAAAAATTGATAAAATGTATAAAATTTATTTATATATATTATGAAAAATCAAAGTAAAACCGGTTCAGATTATATATAATAACAAGCCAATATCAATGAAAACTTTCTCTAGAATAAAGAATCTAAAAAAATAAAATAAAATAATCTTGAAGAATCACAATTATAAAATATAGCAATTTAAAAGTATATAAGTTTATAAATATAAATATTATAATTTTCTTTTTTTTCTTTTTCGTTATATATAAACTTTAATATTTTACTTATTATATTAAAAGATGTATTTATTGTTACTATATATTTCTTTCTTATTCTTTTTTAAAACAAACACATATTTTTATTTTATATATTTATATATATATTATATTATATTATATATTATAAATTGTATACAATTAGATGAAAGTTGATTTCATAATCAGTTTATTTTTCTATGTGAAAATATTTTTTTATTAATAAATATATTTATAAATTAATAGAAAATAGTCATAAAATATATAATTTAAAAAAATCAAAGAAATGAAAAAAATTAGAAAAAAGTATATAATTCAACATAATATTATTTGTATAAAATATTTTATAAATTGGAAATTCCGAATAACTAAATATCCAAATTAAGATGCATTTTTGAAATAATTTCATACAGTTCTTTAATTTAATACAATATAAATAATTAAAAATATAAAATCATTAATATAAATAATTAAAAATATAAAATCATTAATATAAATAATTAAATTAAATAAAATTAATTAAATCATATAATATAAATAATTAAAAATATAAAATCATTTCATTTAAAATTACATATTTGTTTTTATTATAAATTAAGATTTTTATCTTCTAAAAAATAAAAAAAAATAAAATTATATTTCAATTTTGTAGATTAGAGACAAAAATTTGAATTATAAAAATTATAATATTGAATTAAATAAATGAATATTTATTAATTATAATTAATACTTTGTAGTTATTATTATATTAATTATTCTATCATTATGATTTTAAGAAAAAAGATTATTATTTCATTATAGTTTCATAAATTGTTGTTACTAACTATTTTAAATAAACAATCAAGTAAAATATTAATTTTTTTTTTAAGCAAAAGATATATTCTAATTCGAAAGTAGAAATCGTTAAATAATTATATACTTCTACATGTTTATACTTTCCTTTGTAATAACAAGAAATCTAATAAGAATATCTATGAACAAAAGAAACGAAAAGAATTCCGAGATTCGAAGAAAAAGAGAGTAGGTAAGCGGATAGATATAAGGACAACCTACTTTATTGGAATTATTAGTTTGTTCTATGATCCACATCGGAGACAACTATTAGAATCTACAAATTGACGTTTTATCATGAAAATAAAATTGTCACAAGTAAATCATAAATATTTTAATATATAATAATATGATTATTTTACATTTTAATCATTGATATTTTAAAAAATCCATATGGTGATAATTTTTCTTTTTATAGATATCTCGTGCATAATTTAAAAGTTGTTCTTCAAGAAACATAACTTTTGTTTTTAAAATTGTAGTGATAATTTTAATAATCAACGTGTAAAATATATGTTTTTAATTCAAAATTTAACAAACATAAAAATATTTAAATTTTAATAAATTTTATAAATTATATAATTTTTTTTAATGATTTTTAGCTTATTTTAATTTTAACGACATTGTTGGTTACTATATCTCAAGGACTTCTCTTCGGATTGTAAGTAAAGTTAAATTTTAATTTTGCAAATCTTGAAAAATTATTTTTCAAATTTATTATTATTATATTTAATATTATATCAAATTAATTATTATTTATCAAATATATTTTATTTATATTTCTTTTAGATTTATATCAAATTATATTAAATTTAATATTTTAGATTACTTTGAATTAGCTTAACTATTTATATTATAGATATTTAGTAAAGAAAATATATTATACATTGACAATTTATATTTTATAGTCCTAGGAATGTATTAAGAGATTTTTTGCAATTATTAAAGGAAAGGAAAGAAGTAAAGGAAAATCTTCATATAGATCATTACCATATGTATTATTATCCAATAGAATATTCAATATTTGAACCACGATTAAAAGCACCTAAAAAATACGAATTAGAAGAAATACATAAGTAAATTTGAATTTTTCGTATTTTTGATATATATATATATATATATATATATATATCATATTTATATAAACAATAAATAAACAAATAAACACTATTAATAATTTTTTAAATAATTATTAATAATTTTTTTAATGAAAAACATCTTTAATTTTTAGCAATCATTTGGCAACACTTGGATGGTCTAATCATGAATATAAATATATTCCTGAACCCAAAATTAAAATTTCTTCTAGTTTATATGATTTGTGGAAACAATCTGTGTTCTGGAATCATGAAAGTTTTGATTGATACACGTAGATATATATACAATATTTACAATATTTATTTTATTTTTCATTATGTAATATATATTTTTCATTATGTATATTCAATATGATATAAATAAAATTTTATGTAAGAAAATAATAATTTTATAAATAAAATAATATAAATAAAAAATAATAAAAAAATTTTATGTAATAAAAAAACAAATATATCAGCATAATTAATATTTTTAATATTTATTATATAACATATTATATTTAATTTTACCACATTATACAAATATTACCATAATTACAATTATTTTTTATTCATAAAGTTTTAATTTACCATATCCAGATTCTTGCATCTTTTCAAAAAGTGTTTTATAAGAAATTTCTAATAATCGAGACATCATCGATGGCAGTGGCAACTTTCTCTTCTCGATACGAATATTTTGTTGTTCTACATGATCTTCATAAAGTTTAGCCATAAGAAGTATCATATACTTACGATCAGTTAATCGTACAATATGACTTCCCATCACTTTCTCTAATCGAAATTTAACTGGTGGATAATTTATTCTATAACAAATGTGTCGATAAAATTTAAAAAAAATAGTAATATTTTATTATTATAAACATTATATTATAAATTTTATTATTATGAAATGAAAATTAAATTAAGCACATATTTATATATACGCATCTACGTAGGATTTAGAAAGGATTTAGAATTTATAATTGTATTTAATATTATACAAATAATTTGATAATATTATTTAATTTTTTTTTGTTTTTAACATTTTGCTTTTTTTATTTTGTTTTTTATTAAATAATTTTTATTTATATAATTATTAAAATTATCAAAAAGCATGTCTTGATTTATATATAAATTTTTAATGTAAATATAAAAAATTGAAATATAAATAATAAAAATATATAATATAATAAAATAAAAAATTATGTGAGCAATAAAAATTATAACTTACGCATATCTTATATGTTCGGTTTCCCACCATTGTAAAGGAACATCATAAGGATCGATGGCGGAGGTAAATACTGTTACATCTTCAGCTGGTTTTTTAAGTTTTTTTTGTGTTTCTTTTTTTTCATCATCTTTTTTATCCTCCTCTTCTTTATTTTCTCTTTTAATTTTAGTCACTTTATCTTTATATTTCTTCTTTTCTTTATGATTATTTTTTTTCTTATTATATTTATTTTGCTTTTTTTTTATTAACATTTGCATAATGAAATGATTATTTTTATCCTATCTTATTTTTGTCATTTGAAACGAAAATTAATTAAAATTAATATTTACAAAAAATATATTAATTTTTTAAATTATTAAATAATATGATTATTAATTGATATTGATATAGTTAAACTTAAATTTTGTAAATGAATATAGTAAATATATAAAAAACAAACGCATTCAAAATTACAATCTAAGAAATTTAAAAAGATTTATTTAAGAATTTGAAATAATGGTATTTATAATAAATTAAAATAAATAATTTTAGATATAGATAAAATAAAATAAGTATTATAATTATTATAATAAATAATTAAATAAAATTTATTTTATTTAATATTTTTTTAAATATTAAATAAATTAAAATATATGTATTGTAATATGCAAACATAAAAATAAAATATTGTTTATTAATATTTGATACATATAAAAATTATTTAAATTAGTAATTAAAAGTAAATTAGTCTTAAAAATAGATTTATAATTAAATTTAATTATTTATATATTTCTTTAAACTATTTCCTAATACGAAATATATATATGAAATATATATAATATATATAAATATATATAAAACTTTAAAATTTTATAAGAAATATCTATTTATAATTTTCTTGTATTTAAATATATAATATATATATTTTTTTAAATGTAAAATCAGACAAAAATACAATAAATTATTTTAATTTATATTTTGATAATTTTATACTCTATTTTCATAAGATTGATTATATATTTATAAAATAAAAAAGACATTTTGTTATACATATTATTGTAAAAAAAACATTTATATTGTATAAAAAGTATATGACATATAAAAATTCTTATTAAACTTAAAGTAAGACATCTATAAAATTTATATAGTTAAAGTCACATGTTTGTATGAATATATATATGTAGATGGTGAATGTATATCTTTAGAAACAAATATGGCGAAACAGTTAGGAGTGGATAAAATTTATAATCTATGGAATATAATAAAAGCAAATGGTGGTATTTTAAATTCTGTTTATACTTTATTCAGGTTATTATGATATTATTTATTTAAGTAGTATTTATATCAATTCTATTTATAATTGCCTTATTAAAAAATTCTACACTGGCAAATCTAATTTTGTAGATATTTATAAATATAAAATTATTGATTTTAATTGAATATTGCAAATTATTTATTATATAAATATATAAAAATAGTTTAATGTGAATAATCATGTTACATTCCAAATATTTTCAGAATGGATACTTTAAAAGCAGGTACGTTAGTGGGTGAAGACAAATATGGAAACAAATATTATGAAAATAATTCATTATTCTATGGTAAGTTGATGATTAAATGATATAGATTATATGGATTATATGATATAGGTTCATTTATATATAGATCATATATTCTGTAGTCTGAAGAATATATCAATGACTTATTAAAATATTACATTAATTTGTCTTTGTATTGTTTGTTTATTTATGAAATTTAAATTTTTATATTTAATTATAAATATTTAATTATATTAATTAATTTATGATTATAATTATTATTGTTTATTTATATATATATGTTTATTTATATTATATAAAAATCACTATGTTTAAATTTGTTAAAAATAATATTTATCTATTTGAATTTTTAAACTTATGAATTTCTAAACTTATTTTTTTTAAACGTTAAAAATATACTAAAATATTTATATATATTATAATATTGTATATATTAAATTATTATTATATCATATTTTCTTATTTCAATTAAATAATATATATTTATATTAATAATATTATATATTATATTAATAAATATATTTTTTTTATAACAAGATTTAGTTAAAAAAAAGAATATTAATATTATTGATAATTATTGAATAAATTAATTATTGACATATTATTGAGTAAATTTCTTGAAAAATTATTTATAATCAAAATTTTTATTATTGTTATATATAACAGGTAGGAATCGATGGGTGATATATTCTGAAGCAGTTTATTTGGATTATGATGGATCTCAAGTCCCAGCAGAATGGTTTGGATGGTTACATTATAAAACAGATTTAATTCCTTCTAAAGATTTAAGTCGGCCAAATTATAAATGGATGGCAGATCATAAACCAAATTTAAGTGGTACCAACAAAGCTTATATGCCTTATAGTACTACAAAACCAAAAATTATACCATGGAAACCATCACAATAATATATAATTTATTATATAGAGTTGCTTAAAGTAGTTATAATGAAAACAAAGATAATATGTAATTAAATGTAAATAAATTATTTATATAAAAAATATTATAGTAAATCTTGATATTTATAATCATTTAATATGTTCTTTTTATTATTGATTGTGTTCTATATTCTATTATATATATATATGTTCTATTTATTACTGATTAATTAATCGTTATTAAAATCTTATCTATTAATAAAATTTTGTTATATACTTTTATATATATATATTATTATATATATATTTTATATTGAACTTAAAACTTCAAATTATTTATTTTTTCATTAAAATTGAAGTTCTTGTCAACTAATTTTAAAAATAAAAACTATTTTATTAAAAATTTCTTACTTTATAAATTTTAATTCTATTAAAACTATTATTACATATGCATAGTTTTTTAATAATAAATTACAAACTATTTTAATTTAAACATTTTTAAATTTATGAAGTAAAATAAGCATTATTTATCTATAATTTATTATTTATTTTAATAATTATATTCTTAATAATATTCTTAATAATTAATTATATTCTTAAATATTAATTACATTCTTTTAATAAAATTAAAAATTTAAAGAATTAATATTAATTATTATTTAGTTTTATAAAAATTAAAAATATTAAAAATACTATATATTATAAAAAGTATAATTTTATTAAAATTATTATAATTTATAATATAAAATATACTACAAAAATAACGAAGAATATTCGCGTTTTATTTGTTGATAAAACGTCGTAAAAAATATTTATCTTTATCCTCTATTACTACTCTCATATTGATTAATCCTGATTAGCAAGAGTAGGGAGACATAAAAAGTATAGACAAAAAAGTTTGGAACGTAAATTAAAGTTTATATCATCTGATAAGAATTCATATCAAAAAAATAAAAAATATGAAAATTTGTTTTATGTAAGTAAAATTATAAAAATCACTTACTTAAAAAAATTGTTTTTTATTTAAGAATAATTTAAGGATGAATGATATATCAAATGTCTATAAAAGATAATTTCTTAAAATATTTTTTTTTCTATAAATGTATTTTTGTATTAAAATATGTTTTGATATTTTGAACATTCAATAATTATTTTTTTTTTATTTAAGTGCTTTATTCAATAATATATATTAGATATAATTACAAAAATGTTGAATTTTTATGATTAATATATAAATATATTAATTACATCTATAAATGTTTGACAAATATTATAGGTTTTAAATCAATATGGTAAATCATGGCAAAGTAAAATCGCAAGTAAAGTATTTCATTTCAATAGAAAAAAAATTATTTGTAGACGAAGCGATGGTCCATATAAAAAATGGCAATTATAATAAGGCTATATATCTCTATAATAAAGTAAGTTTTAATTCTTAAAGCATTTTTATTGCATATTTACAATCATAAAAAAATAAAAGTACTTCTCTCTTGATCTTCATAAAATACATAAATATAATAAAATATAAATAATGAATATAAATAAAAAAAATATAAAAAAATATTATATTTAAAAACAAATAATTAGAAATAATTAATTAAATTATAGTAAGAAAAATATATAAAATATAATAAATATAAATAAATAAATAATAAAAATAGAAATATAATAAAATACGAAATTACATAAAACAAAAATATAATTATATAAATATTATACGATTTATAATTATTTAAAAATATGAAAAACTTATATTAATTATTAATTTTCATATAAAAATTTATTTTTTATTTTTATTTTTATAAGAATTATAAATATATATAATATATTTTATATTATTATATAATTAAATATATATATATATTTATAAGAATTATATAATATATTTATATATTATATTTAAATCAAATTTAAAATATTTAAGACAAATATTTACTTTAATTTATATTGTATATTATAATATAATATTATAATTATAATGTAATAAACTGAGAATTATGTATTATCAATTATTTTTTCAATATACTATAGATATATTATTATTTTATATAAAATATACTATTAAAAGATATATATAAAAAAATATTATAACAATGATGAAATGAATATTAATTTATTATTGATTTTCTTAAATTTTTATTTTTATAATGTTAAATAACGTAATCATATTACAAATACCAGCAAAACATTCATAATAGTTTATTTTTTAGATTTTACTATAAATCCATAATATAAAATCCAAAATAAGCAGCTCGTTTTTTTATTAATAAAACATTACGAAATAATCATTAAAAAATATTTAATAATTTATTCTATAATAAGATATTTAAGCATGATAAAATAAAACACTTAATGTATTATGATTAAATTTATTTTTTTATTTTTTGGTTAATTTTTTTATATTTATCTTATCTATTATATATATCCTTTATAGTATAATATAATATAATATTTTTTATATAAATAAATAACAATAAATAAAATATATTTTAATATAATTAAAAAAAATGAATATTTTTTATATATATTCTATGAGAAAACGAAAAATAAATAAATTTTTTTTAAATATCTTTAAAACTTCATACCATAAATTAAGAATCAATTTCTATCGAAGAAATTTTTGAATGTTGACAGCTAAACTAAATGGTTTCTAACAAGTACTAAGATTCCTTGAAATTCTTTTGTACATATATGATCAGAAATTTTCGTATGAATTGTTGATTGTTTCTAAGGAAACAAGACGTCTTCACAAAGGTGTCGATAACCACACGTCTCTTCCACACGCAATACACGAAACTAGTATCTTATTTCTTTATCGTGAATACATCAAGTATATTCGTTTTATCAATTACAATTTATAAAAAAAGACCAAACAACTCTAGTGATATTTTTAAATATTTTCTAAATAATAATTCATATATAATATATATATAAATAATAGTTAAATACTTTTTAACAATAAAATATTTTTTGAAAAAAGAAGATAAATAAACTAAAAAAATATATACAAAAGTATATTAAAAGTATAAATTTTTCTTTTTATTTTTTCATTCAGCAATCTTTTTTTTTTATATTTTATTTTATATATTTACTAAAAAGTTAAAATAAGATTTAAGAAAAAATTTAACTTCATTATATTACCATAACTAAAAAAAGAAGAATAAAAAATAAAAGAAAAATTTAAGATTATAAAATATAATTATAAAATAATAATAATAATTATAAAATAATTATAATTATAAAAATATAAAACCAAACGATGAGTGATATAATTGTATCAGAATTTACGAACACCCACAACGCCATCGATGCGAAAATTATGGGTTTCTTAAATCCAATTATGCACCATCATGATTTATTACAAAGTTACGTGCGAGCGCTCGCGGAAAACATTTCAAATTCAAAACAGTTTGAGGAATCGGATTCAAATTTCAGTAAAATTTCATCTTCTTTAGAACTTTATCCCAATATTGAGTCTACCGATGATAAACAGAACTATATTAATAATGACAAGAAAAAGAAGAAAAAGGATAAGAAACAACAAAAAGGAAATAAGTCTAATAAATTATCAATCGAATCAGAAATGAATATTCAAAAAAGAAAGAAATGATATCGACAGAATAATGGTACTCGGCATCAAGAAGAAATATATACTGATAAAGATCGTGCCGCCGCAGTAAATATGGGAACTAAAGATATTAAACAATCATTGAAAATAAAGCAAAAACAAGATCGCAATTTACAATTGCCAGAAGATACTGAACCGACAGCTATATTAGCTTTAGGATTGCGTGAGATGCGAATTGGTGATGTTAAAATAGCAATGAATTGTATTAATAAGGTTCTTGTTGATTCTCTTTTCTTTTTAATAAAATATATTATTTTTATTTTTTCGATACAATTTCGATACAATTGTTTATCAATATGTAATTGTATTTAAAGTTTATTTTTAAATATTCAATTATTTATTATAACAATTTTTTTTATTAAAATAGTTTATTTAATTTAATAAAATACTTTATTTTAATAGAATAAAAAAAAAACATTATCAAATAAAAATCTATTTTAGAATAGGAAGTTAATTAAGATAATTTAATGAAAAATTAATTGTATTTGAGAAATTTCAATTGATATTCTTTTATTAATTTGTTTTATTACATAAAAGAGTAAATATAAGCAAATATTTAGCAAAATATAAAATTCTACTTTTTTTAAACAAATATATTTATATTAACCATTTATATTTACATTTATACGCATAATTTTATATAAATTTTAAATTTTATTATTAATGAATATATTTATTTATTAAATTAATAATTATATATATATATAATATATAATATATATATACATTGATTAATATACATATATATGTATATGTATATTAATTTATTAAATTTTTTGTAATTATACAATATAAAATATTAAAACAAATCATTTACAAAATTATTTCTATATAAAACAATTAAAATTAATATTTTAAATATAATGTATTTAATTATATATAGTATAATTATAATTAATATATACTATTGTTTTCACTAGGCATTGGATCTTGAGCCAAATGATAACAATGCATTAATAGCACGAAGTAAATGTCACCTTTTATTAGGAGAACCACAAAAAGCATTGCAGGATGCAGAAAATGCATTACAATATAAAATGAAAAATGCAAATATGGCTAATGCAATATATTGTAAAGCAGAAGCTTTATATTATCTTGGTGATTTTGAAATGAGTCTTGTATATTATTACCGTGGCATGAGAATCCGTCCAGAATACGGACAATTTCGTCTTGGTGTGCAAAAAGCAAAAGATGCAATAAAAAATATATTGCATAAAAATTAAATAGTTATTTTATAAAAAAATGATTATATAAAATTTTTTTAAATTGATTGAAAATTTTAACAAATTATTAATAAAATATAATAAATATTTTTAAAAATATGTATGTTTATATGGAAAAGACATATTAATCTTAAAAAATTATATCTTATAAAATATAGTGTAAAAATTTAAGAAAAATTTAAGAAAATTTAATAATTGTGTGTATATACACACAATTTATTTACGTACGTAATGAATGTTTTTTGTTCATAATATAATCGATATATAATAATTCATATTTATAAATGCTCACATGTAAAAAGAATTTATTGTAAGATTTATATTCTATAAATAAATTAATTTTTATTAATAATTAAATATTATTAAATATTTCAAATATTTTTACAATTAAGAATAATATATTTATGACATTGTTATAATAATGTTATTAGAATAAAATATAATATGTATTAATGTATTACTTGCAGGTTAAATAACCTCAATTGCATATTTGTAATAACATTGTTAAAATTATTTATTACATTTGTTTTTTAAGTTTAAGATTAAAATTAGTTTAAATATTTAGAAATTAAATATTTTATAATGGCAGAAGTTATTTTAAGTTCTGGTGAAAAAACTTTCATTCTTCATGGAATAGATGTAAGTTAATAGATATAAAAATAAATTTGTATAATTTGTATAATTTATTCTTAGCAAAAATTATTTTATAATTACTTATAATTATATAATTTTTTAATTTTTTAATAAAGGCAGACTTTAGAAATGATGGTAGACGACAATGTGAATATCGATCAATGGAGATTGAAACTAAATTAATGCCACAAACTCATGGATCAGCAAGATTACGTATAGGAAATACAGATATACTTGTTGGCATCAAAGTAGAACTTGATATACCTCATGCTGATAAACCAAATGAAGGAAAATTGGAATTTTTTGTTGATTGGTAATAAATAACATTTCTCTTATAATTGAATATCTTGGATATATTTAACATTTCGTATTAATTTTTAAATAATTATTTTATTATTTTTTTTAATTAAGACTTTAAATTTAATTATTTAATTTTGAATAACCATACATTTTTCTTAATTAAATAATTTTATAATTTAATATATTAGTTAAAATAATAAGTATATTTATTTTGTTAATTATTTTACATTGATTATAATACTATAATATTTTAGTTCTGCTACTGCAACTCCAGCATTTGAAGGAAAAGGTGGTGACGATTTAGCAACTGAAATAAGTAATATTTTAACAGCTGCTTACCAAACACGCAATGCTTTTGATTTGAGAACATTATGTATTTTACCTCATAAAAAATGTTGGAAAATATATGTTGATATCTTGGTAAATAAAATTAAGCTTAAATATTAACATTTTTTAACATTTAAATAATTTACAATAATAAGAATAATAATTTTAAAAATAAATTATATATGTAGATTCTTCAGTGTGGTGGTAATCTTTTTGATGCAGTAGGAATTGCAGTTAAAGCTGCATTAAGTAGTACAGAAATACCAAAAATTACAGCTGCAACTCTTGATGGTGGAGAACCAGATATTGAATTATCAGATGATCCTTACGATTGTATTCAATTAGATACGAGTAATTATCCAATTATTGTAACACTATGTAAAGTACGTTTTTTATATTATTATATTATATTATATATTATTATATAATATATTATTTATATTATTTTATATTATATTTTTATATTATGAATAATTTGAAAAATATTCTATTTTATTTAAAAACTATCTCCATTTTAAATTATTTAAATTTTATTATAGATTGGTGATAATTATATTATAGATCCAACTTTAGAAGAAGAAGTATGTAGTGCAAGTAGCATAATCATGTCAGTATTACCAAATGGTAAAATCTCATCAGTAATTAAATTAGGTTATGGAAGTATTCAACCTAGCACTTTCAAGAAAATGTTACAAGTAATAATATTGTCCTATGTTAATTTAATTAAAATTATACAATAATAATAATAATAATAATAATAATAATAATAATAATAATAATAATAATAATATATACATATATATCAATAACGAAATTATATTTTCAGATGGGTGAAAATATAGGATTAAATTTAAATGAAAGTCTTATGAAAGCACTGAAAGAAGAAAGTCAACTTGGACAAAGACAAGTAATAGGATTTCTTAGATAAATGTATATGTATAACAGATATAATTAAATATTTAATTTCAAATATAATTTAATTTTAAATATAAATTTAATTTTCAATTTTTGTCATTTATGTTGTTTCTATGTTATATGTAAAATAAATGTTTTTTCTTTATGCCTATTTTAAATTTATTAATTTAATATCTAAACAAATAATTTTGTTTTAACTAAAATTATAAATATATTTATAATTATATATAAATATAATTTTTATATATTATATATTATATAAATATTATTATATAATTATATAAACATATATTTATAATTTTATTGAATTACTACTTTATTGTAAATAAAGTATATAAAATAAATAATATATTCTAAATATTACTTAAAATATAAATAATATATTCGAAATACTACTTGACAATAATTACAATAATTTTTATATAGGAGAATTTTCAAAACCATTTGTAGCAAATGTTTTTGGTTTTTCTAAACCTTTATAATTTTTTGTTCCTGGAATTGCTGCATCACGTGTCTTTATTATTCTCCAACCAGATTGTTTCATCCAAGTCTATAAAAAAATATTTTAATATTATGTTCAAAATCTTAATAAATCTATATTAATAAATTTCTTATTAATATATGTATTAAAAAATTTTTATGACATACACATGTATTATATTTAAAATAATACCATCCACAATAAATTCCAACAATAGTCATCATAAGTTTGGATGTTGTGTTACGTATAACAGTTGCAAATGTTTTACCCTATAATTAAATAAAAATAAAAATAAAATCAAGTAATATTTTTTTTTTACTAATATTACATAATATAATAAGAAAATGATTTTATCTATTTACTATAAGAGGACTTAATAGTGCTTCAAATTTGTTAAAAGGTAATTTATAAAGCCTTCGAAATGGATTATACAATTGCTTGTAATATTCCTTTGTCATTAATGGCTCATCTGGTGCAAGAATTTGACTTTTAAGGAAACGTGCTCTCCATTCACGTTCTTCTTCTAACATCCCAATCAAACGTTCTCTTTCACTAGTTACACGACCACCAATTGACATTATTTTTACACCACATTTAGAATAAGGTGCCATTGTGATTAACTAAAAATTATAATAATGTAATTCATATTAAATAATTATTAATAATCATATATATATTAATCATATATAGTATATTGATATTATAATTTATACATATATATAAAAATAAACAACTTTTTATAAAATATATACTTATATATATATATAACTTATATATACTTATAAAACATATATTTTAAAAAAATAATAAAATAATATTAAAATTTTATAATTTTTATATATAATATATATACATAAAATATATATAATTATTCATAAATTTGATACTTGCAATGTAATGATATAAAATACACAAAATAATTAAATGAAATTATATAAATGTTAAAACAAATTATCAAAGCCAGTTACAAAGATTGCGTCACAGAATATATATTGAATATAACCTGTAATTTATTTAACAACCATGCGCATTACGTGTCTATTAGCCGCGAATATAAATTCACCAGAAAAGATTTTCAGAAAGAAATGAAATATTACATAATACTAGTAATAATGAAATTATTAATATTAAATTTTTTACTTCAATTTTTTTTTTATTTAAAAACAATTATTACGATTAATAAAATATTTGTAAAATAATATATATTATTTTTTATTTTGATTTAAATTTTATTGAATATAAAATTTTATTAAGATTTGAATTTTATTTATTGTATAGACTATGCTTGTGTTTACATTAATATTTATTTATTTTTTTCTGCATAAATATTTTATAATTTTTTAATTAATTTCTTATAAGTAATAAACTTGTAAATATTTAAATTAATTATATATATATAATTAAATTCATAATATTATTTCATTTTGATTAAGCTAAATAATTCAATTAGAAAATATATAAAAAAAATTATTTTTTTATAAAAGTAAATATAAATTGATCCTAATAAATTTATTTTTTTAATTATATTTTTTTTAATCTTTAAATTGAATAAGTTTAATTTAATAAAAAAAAATTTTTTCCTTATTTTATGGTTTTTAATATTCACTTTATATACATACATATATATATATACACATACATATATACATATTAATTCTAAAATTTGTATATATTTCAATTTGAGTAAAAAGATTTTATAAAAAAAAATTATTTTAAATATTAAATGTAATAATTAACAAATGTTATTTATTATCTTGGTATTATGAAATTATTGTTTTTATAAAATTATATTTATAATTTCATATTATCTTGTAATATATAAGAATTAAATATATTATTTTTATAATATTATAATTCTTTTATACTTTCTTTTATATCAGATAATGCTCTATGATTATGATCTTTTTTTAAAATAGATATATTTATATTCCACCTCCTGAAATTAATACAATTATAATTCATTGAATGTATAAGATATAATGCATGAACAAATATATGTAAAATATACATTACTTAATTAATTTTTTAATAGTAGAAGTATCAATAATTCTATAATGTAAATAGTTATTAAAATTATAAATGGCATATATTTATATAAAAACATATGATCTACATAGACTGAACTTTCTGCTAATGGACATATTACTTCTTTTACATATATTTTTAAATATTTTAGTAGAATTTGCTCAGCATCTTGTATAGTAATTTTATTTAAACATGATTCATAAATTAAATCATATCTAAAAATAAATATAAATATTAAATATAAATATAGATTTATATATTATTATATTGAAACTATATATGTCTGTTATTTATTTATATACAAAATTACTTTTTGATGAGTTGCTAAACACCAATCATCCATATTATTTAATATTTCATCTAAGTGATGTATAATAATATTTAAATCTTTGCTTACAGTTTTTAAATTTTTGTCAGTAATTATACAAGCTATTTCTAAAATTTGAAATGTATTTATATCAAGTCCACTCATCTGAAATATACATAATAAATTAAAATGTATTCTATTATGCGAAATATATTTAATAACATGAACATACTTCCATATCTAACCAAATAATATAATTATTTTTCTTTTCACATTTGTGGAGAATGTAGGTGATTTAGTTGTTTAAATAAAATTTTCAAGATTTAATATATATATATGCAGAGAATAATAATATAATATATGCAGAGAAATTTAATTTAATTTAAGTGATAAATAATATTTTTTAGATAGATTTAAATTTATTGTTTTTGTTATAAAATTTTAAATGATTTTTTTTATTAATAATAAAAATGATAAAAATGATAAAAATGATAAAAATGATAAAAATATAATTATAAAAGTAATTGTAAAAATCTAATTAAGATTTATCTTACAAATATGTATATTATTTTTTAAAATAAAAACATTAACAATTGTAGATATATATTTATACGTACTTAGTAGTACTAGTTATTAAATTAATTATTTTATTATATATTTTAAATATTTATTATTTATAATGAATATTTAATATTTGTAATATAGTTTAAACAATGTTTTGTTTAGTAAATTATTTTTAATTTATTTTTATATTATAATATAATATATTTAAAAAAATATAAAAGATTTTTAATAAAAACCATTATTTAAATAATGTGAAATAATTAATTGAAAATAATTTTTCAACCATTTTAAAAAAGATATAGAAATCATTTTTGTTTGTAATAAATTTAATTTTTTTTTCGAAAAAATTTAATAATTATAAAAAATATACGAAATTGCAATTTAAATGCAAAATTCAAAAGATAGGATATGAGAACTACATCTATAAACTATATCAGTGTCAAAAATTTAACGATAATAAAATTCACTATAAAAAAAATGATAATACAATACTATAAATTTATATATATTGTTATTATAAGTTTATAATTATTAATAAGTTTATAATTATTAATAATGTAGTATTAATAATAAATGCAAATTTTTTAATTAAAATTTAAATTTATCTTTTTATTGTGTATAAAAATTTATATTAATAACCGAAAATCAAATTGATCTATAGAAATCACTAAACAAAATGTAGAGAATACATAGCGATGGTGGTGGCAATGATGGAATTGTGAAAAAAACTGTCGTTAAGATTGCATAGAAAAAAAGATCCTCTACGAAGGTAGTGTATGATTATAGTTTCATTCAATAATTATTTATTGAAAAATATCGTAATTTTTGAGAAGAGAAATATGGAAGCAGAACCTTTAGAACTTGAAGATGGTGAAGTTATAGATAATGAGGTAAAGAAATATTGTATAATTTTACATTTTATATGAATCTAACCTATTTTAATCATAACGATTATCGTATTCTAATATTAAACTTTGTAGTTAAATTAGAATTAATTTAATTGATGTATTATTTGAATAAAGTATTCTTTTATATGTTATTTAAAATTTATAATATTGCAAAATTTTTTTATCTTGTAAAATTAAATTAATTTTTTATAATTTTTTATAAGCTATATTTATTAATTATAATATACTTTTATTTAGACAAGCGATATTGAAACGTATAATGTTTTAAAAAGACCTCATGCAATTTCAAATAAAGAAGAAAATATAAAAATGGGTTATAGTGATGAATCTGATGATTCTGCAGATTCTGAAAGTGATTCTGATTCAGATTCTGAACATATTAAAAGTAAAAGACCTAAATTAAAATTAAGACGTTCTAGAAGTATGACAAAAAATTGGTCGGACAAAAATGATAAATATAAAATATGGTGTACTCAATTACAAGAAGAATCTTTAACAGAAGATCTAATATTATGTGGTGTAACAAAAAAGCGAAATCAAGAACGTAATGTTGAGAGTTATAATATTCCACATCATTATTCTTATAATGGTACATGGAATATGGAGCATCACAATAATAATAGTTCAGAAGATGAAAAAGATGGAGAAAAGAGACTGACAAATAAAAGAACAAATTCAGATAGAAGTAATATTAAATTGAGATTAGGAAAGAAACGTAATTCAATGGATATAGATAACCAAAAAGGAATTGCACGTAAAATTGCGGATTTAAGTACAACAGTTGAATCAACTGATGCAGATGTTGCTACTGATATAACATCAAAACTTAATGAGAAAAAAGATCTCCTTATAAGTAAGAAATTTTTTGCTATTTTAAATTAATATATGTATATACTTAGTTATTTAAATCTCTATTTTATAGGAAGAATTGTAGATATAATTGGTAAAGAAAAAGCTATTGATTTTTTTCAAAAAACTAAAAAGATTGAAGAAGGAGGTGGTATGTTAATAATGAATGGATCTAGAAGAAGAACTGCAGGAGGTGTATATTTATGGTTAGTGAAAAATGATGAACATATCCCACGAGAAAAAATAAGGGAGATATTTTATTATGATAAAAAAGAACATGCTGAACAAAGAAAAGCTGATGCTGCTGCAAGAAGACAAAAAGCACAAGAATTAATAAAATGTCTAGAAAGTAAGTTATTTTATTATATCATAATAGAAAGAATAAAAATTTTTTAAAATATAAATATAATAAAAATATGTTTAATGTTTATAGATGGTTCAGAAAAAGATCTTCCTGCTTTACTAACAAAAGCAGAACTTTCTACAAGAGAAATTGCAGAAGAAGCAAGATTGAGGCGTGGAGAAGGTATGGATAGAATGCCACTGGATTCTGATCGAACAATGACTAATCCACCACCAAGTCCTGTAACAGATGATCCAGATCATTCAGAGCATCCACTTGTACAAAGGCATGTTCAAAACTATGGAGATGATTTCCTTGATATTGGAATAGACATAGACAGTATGGAAGTACTTTAAAATATTACTTTGGAATATGTATTGCGCAGATAATTTGTACAAAATGAAGTTCTTTACAAAATATCTATACACATATATTATGTGAATATATTTTACATAATTTGTACGTTTGCCTATAATATATACAGATAAAAATCATGGATGATCAAAAATTGATCAATCCAAATCTATTGCAACGACGTTCCATATTGTGATAAAATAATTTATCAAGTGTACATATTATGGTAATATACTTTATTATTTTCTCAAATTTTGAAAAACAAAAAATATTTGTATACTCTTTTTTTTATGTTTCATTTAACAGGTTTCTATTTATTATTAAGATAGATGTAAAAAAATGTAAGAGACGTAACAAGTATGAAATTTTGTAGAAATTATAACATAATATATACTTAAATATTATATATTGTGTTGTTATTTTTATGAAATTTTCATTGTTGAAAATTGTTTATGTATATAAAAGTCACTATGAAAATAAATATTAGACTATTTGTACTTTGTATAATATATTAAACAAATTGTCTCATATATAAAATTTTACTTCATATATTATGTGCGTAACAATTTATTTTTTCAGTTATGAATATTATACAATATATAAATTTGAAAAAATTTAGTTAAATAAAAAAATCATTTTATAGTTTTATTAAAATTCTTTTATATAATAATTAAATATTTAAAATAATTATTTCATTATTTTATCATTAAAATAAATTAAATTCATTTAAGTAATTTTTCACATACTAGAAAAATCCAGTAAAATAAGACTGAATTGTTTCAAATTTTTATATATTTGGTTTTTAAAATTTTAAATCTATATTAAATTTATAATGAAAAAAACAACAATATAATTTTAAATATATTAATAATTTTTTTATTTTTTGATAATTTTATGCATTAATAATTATGCAATAGAATTTCACATATTTGTTTTATATATCTGTTACTAAATCATACAATATAAAGGGAACAAAAATTTATACATTTAAATAAATTTTGAGAAATCAATAAAAGAATTTATTTTTCAAAATTATTTTTTAAATAAAATAAAAATTATTAATATTATTTAATATATATTTTATATTTATTTTTTTTTATATACATATATTTTTTGTATATGTGTGAATGTGTGTCTATATATATACATATATATATATGCATATATATAATACAAGGAGAAATAATTTTATAATTAATTCAACAATTTTTTAATTTTAAATTATTATGAAATAATCTAAATACGATTAAATAAATTTGTAATGTAAATCTTTTTGTAAATGAATTTTGTATATATGTATATTGTATAAATATAGATATATAATTTGTGAAATGCAATAGCAATTGTTCTATATATTATACTAGTAAAAAATAGTCAATTTATAAATATTATTCTTTTTATCATATTAACATTATATTTGTATATTAATATTATATTGTTATGTAACTTTAATATTTCATAAATTCAAATACAAACCTATGAAATATATTTTTGTACATAATGAATGATAGCAATTTATCTCATATAGAGCCAATTGTTTTTGTTTCTTCTGTAAAAATTAAAATAAAGATGAAAATGAAAATAAAAATAAAAGAAAATATTTAAATTTAAATAAAATTTAAATTTAAAATTAAAATTCCAAGTACTATAAATATTTTATATTTTGCTAATGTTTATAAGATATCTTGTAATAAAAAATATAATTAATAAAAATAAAAATAAATTTATTACAAAAATAGAAATAAATAGTTTATATTGTAAAAGAAATATTTTAATATTTTCATTATAATTAAAATATTTAAATATTTCATAAATATTTAAAAATTTATATATATATATATATACTTACTCAGTAAAAATTTGACATGAGATTTAATAATAATCGCATGTATATATATCGCAAAAATAACAAGTTGATTAGCAAGATGACAGAATGAGAATATTTTCCATTTAATACTTCTCTATTGCTCATCACATACAATTAATATTGTATGATTTTATTTGAAGACTTCCGATCAATATATATATTTTTATGAATGAATTTTAGATCTATCGAAATTAATCAATTAGATCATATTATTTTCGATTTATTCAATTTATCAATAATAACTACAATAAGTATATACATTTAAATACTTATATGAAGAACTGATAACTTAAGATCATTGTAGCAAAAGAAAAAAGTACTCTTTTTGTTCTCTATATTGCTTTGATTGCCAACTTATCAACTTATCAACAATAAACAACTATATATATATATATTTCTTTTTTTCTAATACAATTACATCATTTTTTCTAATAAAGAAAGAAGAGTTTCACATCTTTCTTTAACCTATAAAAAAATATATATTTAAAGATATCTTATTTATATATTAAAGATATTTAAAAAATTATACATTATACAGCATATAATTTTACTTACTTGATCAATTGTACGATTCCCTAATATTTTACTAACCATGGCAAGTGAATTTTCAGAATATTCTTTTTTAATAGCTTGTAACAGAATCATATCTTCTTGTCGTGTCCATGATTTAATATTTACATTTGTATTTAAATTAATATTTTTTATTTCACAATTTGAATCAATTTTTCTTATATTATCATTCGATATTTCAATTTCTATATTTTTCACTAATGTTTTTTTATCAGAATTTTTATAGTCAATAGATAAATATTTATTTGATTTTATATGATTAACATTTGAATCTACATATTCTAATTTTGCTTCTAGTTTATCAACTTTGTTTTTTCTTTTATTTTTACATTGGGATATGCGTATTTTTTTTGTATTTCTATTCTTTATGTGATTTATTTCATTTCCAGATCTTTTTAAATTTTTTTTCTGATCTGTTGATTTTGATGGAGATTTTATAGTTTTTTTAGATTTTACAATTAACTTTTCTCCATCTTCATTTTCTTTAATAGGTAAACTTTTTGATAAACAAGATTGTTCATCACTATGAAATTCATTTTTCGAAGATTTTCTTCGTTGTTTAGATGAAATAGATGAAGTAAATTTATCAGTAATTTTTAAAGATACACGAGCAATATTTTCCAATTTTTCTTCATCAGCTCCAGGAAAAATAATTTTTGCAGGTCTTAGGCCTTCAGATGTTTGAAGATAAATTTTTCCATTTAGAAACTGTCCATTTTTTAAATATATATTTAAAATTTTTATGATGAAAATTTATTAAACAATTTCAAATAATGTATATAAAAAATAATATATAAAATATATAATAAATATATAAAAATATATAATTTTTATTAAAAAATTAAAATAAGAAAAAATATGACGTACCCTTGTACCACAAGAAATGCAATGTTCAGAAATATTCTTACAAGTGGTTTCATCACCATTGTGACAATTGCACTTGCAATTTTCTCCACCATAAGGATCTTCTTGAAGTGATAACACTGGTAATTCTATATTTTCATATAATTCAGGTGCATCTTCAGTATAAATTTTACTTTTATCATGTGGTCCTACTGGGCATGTTAAATTTTCAAACATATGTGATGCAAATAAACTACAAAATAATTAAATGTACAATTAAATATTTATAAATTTATTAATTAAATTTATATATATGTAATTAATAATAATATTGTATTACCTGTCTGGTGGTTTAGCAGTAGGTAATATTTGTAAAAATAAATCCATAACTAAAGGATGTCCCTTAAGTATAGGGCCCATAGTTGCATGAATATGTTCTAATGTTATCTGTGTATCAGATGAAAGCTGTGTAATAGCTTGCATCATTTTTGCTATTCGAGAAGGTTGTTTAGCAAAATATATTTGAGCTACATTAACAAATTCGTTCATCTTTTGAAGCATTATATATTCCACTGACTTATCTATCATTGCAGCTTGATGTGGTTTTAAAAACAATAAAAAATCCGTACAAAGTTCAGGATATTCTCGTAATTTTTCACATACATCTTGATACAAATTGATAGTTATTGTATCTTTATCTTTTGCAGTTTTTTCCATAATTTGTTCATTTTGAGAACATCTTGATCGATTAGAAAATGATAATTCATTCTCCATCTGATTAATATTATCTAATTTTTCATAATAATCTAAATATAATTTTATAATAGATCGTAATGTTGCTGGATTATTAGATTCTAATGTTAAATGTAATTTTTGAAGATATGATGCTGCAAATTCTATATAAGATAATATAAGTTATTTAAAATTAATTTGAATGTATATTGTTAAATTATTACATAGCGAGAAAAAGAGAAAAAGATATGTACTTGAACCTCTTTCTTCTTCATTTAATGGATTTTCAGATTCTAAAAGTCTTTTAATATTTTCTAATTCTCTAGCTTCTTTTGCTTTCTTTCTACTAATAGAATCTTTCTTAATTGTTGTACTAGCTAACATTAATTCTGCTATTTCATCTTCATTATCCTGTAATAAAATTTAAATTACAAATATTATTTATTTTATTTTATTAGAAAGTTATAATTTTACTCACTATCTTAGGTAAAGTTGATATTTTTTCTAAATTTGTATCTATTTCATTTTTTTCTCTAGACTTTAAAGTATTATTATTAGATGATAAAGCTTTTGGTCCTAAAACTTGAGCCATTAATTTCATGTTTTGAGCACTTCTTGTTTTTGCTAATCTAGGTGTAGTTTTTCGTAATTGTGGTAATTCTTGTACTATTTCAGAAGATTTTTTACGAAACTTCGAGTGTGTTGATATAAGATTTGTATCATTTTGAATTTTTTTAAATTCATTTCCATCTATCTTTTTCTCTTTTTTTTCTTGTGATGTCATGATTTTTAAAGAATTGTTGCGCTCTTTATTTAATGTATGTATATTATGTAATTCAATATTAGTTCCATTATTTGAAATATTTTTCAAAATTTTAGAATTAGAATTTTCATTTAAACACAAATTGTCTTTTGATATATTTTTACTTATCTTCTGATTTGCAGGTAATATTTTTGGTAATATATTAATAGATGAATTGTATAAGAGAACAGTATTAGAAATATGATTTCTATTTCCATTTGTAAAACAATCTTTTTTTATAACATCATTATGTGAATTAAGTATATATTTTCGTTTTAATACATCAACTTTTTGTTCTGTGTGTATCTATATAAATAAATGAAATGTTATTATATGTATTATAATATATTATAATATATTATAATATTAAAAATAAATATATTAAATACTTACATTACTAAGATAAGTCTGCCATACTGAAGGTAATAGATTTATTGATTGATCTTTGGGAGCTTTGAGATCACATTCCAATGTAATGTAATGTATTGTTCTTGGAGCAGAACCTTTTTCGAAGTAATGCTGTAGAAATATTTATTTAATCAAATTTTATTATAATAAACATATCTTTTTCATTTATTACATATTATTTATGGATATATTTATATTTATAGATATATTATTTACTTTTATTGGATTTGCATGTTTTGCGCATCGACGTTTTCGAATATGATATATTAATCCATGAGGTTCTCTACATGGTATTAAATATTGAATAATTAATTGTACTGCATCAATTAATTGAAGTTTTTTACTCTTAAATTTTCTTGGTTTAGATGCAACAAAAGGAAGAAACTGTTCCAAACCTAATGCAATTAAACTGAAAAAATAAATATTCAAAAAATGTATCACATTTTTTGTAATACACATATATTATATACTTACTTTTCTTCAGATTTTAAATATGGAAGTCGTACAAATTTAATTGATTCAGGTCTAAATGGTATTTCAGGTAAAAGTTGTGGATACATTAAAGCTTTACTTTCCATAAATAGTTTTTTTAATTCTGGATGAAAAATAGATGCACCTTTATGTTTTTGCACAAGATATATTTTCTTTATTGGATCTTCATCTATAAGAGCCTTTTTAAAATCTTCAGAAAATTCATTATCCAAAAATTTTTTTTCCCAATCAAATATTAATTTTAAAGCATCTGGTAAATTTATCACATTAAATGCAGAATTAGGTCCATTACTTAAATATCTAATATAAATAATATAAATTTATTAAATTATTTATTTAATACATTCATAATTTATGAATTATTATTTTATAAACTCACTTTATACTATTTAAATTTTGTTTACATGTTTGTGATTGAGAATGTAAATCTGGATGCATATATGTCATAGCAAAATGTTGCACCATTAATTGAACATGTTGACGAAATTGAACTGCTAATAATTCTTTTTGATTTGGATTTATTAAATTGGAATGGTCAGTTTCTTTGTAAGTAGATAATATATCTGTTACAGATTCATTCTAAATTCCATAATTAAAAATGTAATAGAATGCTAATTAAAAATTATTTTGCTAATTAAAATTATATTTATTTATAGAAATTATATATTAAAAAATTATATATTATTATATATTATTTATAGAAATATAGAAATTATTTTTATCTTACCACAATATCATTTCCAATTTGTATTTGTGGAAAATTTGTATTTTCTAAAGATTTTTTCTTTTTTGAACTTTCTTGTTCTTGTTTAGAATATGTATCTGTAAACTCAAATAATTCTGCAATCAAATCATTTAATTCCTTGCGTGAAACTTTTACAGCTTTATCAGCTCGTAACTCTTCTTTATCCACTATAAATTTTTAAATTATTTTAATAATTTATACAAAAATTATATATATCTATATTTATAAATTTGCTAAAAGTAAAGATTTTAACTGAAGTATAAGACAAAAAGACAAAAGAATTTATAAAATATTTTCAAATATCAATTGATTAATTATAATATGAGATTTCTATGACTATAATTGTTTAATGAGAAGAAATAAGAGAAAAATGTTAAATTAAAAATATAATTATAAAATAAAACATACATATAATTATATCTAACATATCTATATAACAAAAATATATATAAAAAGTGTTTTAATTAAAAATATATAACAAAAAAATTAATAAATTGATATATATCTGTATGATCAAAAATGTTAAAACTTTTACTTTGTTAAACAATATATATATGTACATAAATATATATATTATTTCTATTTATCAAACATACAAAATTCTGTTTCTTCATCATCTGAAACATTATATTCTGGATCTGCTTCTGGATCATCTTCCACTATAGGTTCTTGAGTTAATGGTTGAGTGAATTCCTTTAAAAAATTCACCCAATCTTCATCTACTTCACAATCCCAATCACACATATTAATAGTTATAACATATTCTTAGCAAAATCACGTTTCACAAATTATATGTTAAACATTAATCGATATGCTTAGATTATATAAATATTAAAATTATTCCACAATAAATTATTATTATTAAAATGCTGCATTATATTATACATTATCATTTTTATACTGTGATTGAGTTTTCAATGATAGCAGCCATATTTATTGTATTTTAAGCCATAGCTTCAGCTTATATATTAATTAATACTAATCGATTCTCAATATTGTACTTTATATATTAGTCGAATCTTTTTTTATTTTCAAAATTACATTATTTAATTTTTATTTAAAATTTTTTGAGTTTGAAATATTTAATTTAAAAGATATAAAAAAAAATAGTAACAAAAATTTACACAAATATTTCATAAGAGATGTTTTTTTTATTAAATAAAAAAGCAAAAATAATTCTTATCATATTGATCATTTATTATCATATTATTTATTAGCTAAATATTATTCGATGAGTTTAATCATCGGAAATAAATTCAATCACATGGAGATATTACGAATTTAACTATTGGCTGAATCGAAATCAATTTCAGAATCGAATATTATTGTGTAAAATATAATTGTGTAAATATAATTCATCGATACAATTTCTTTATATTTATATAATAAATAAGTAATTTCATGAATAAATTAATATTTATGAAATTACTTCAAGAAAATAAAACTTTATTTTAATCCTAACGATTATAAATCAACTTTTGATTTTTCTATTTCTATTGATGTAAGTATTATTTAATATTTATTAATAAAGATCGAAAATACGAGATTACTAATTCAAATCGAATCATAAAAATCGGATAAACATGGATATTTAACTATTTATATTTACCTAAATATAAAAAGTAAATATAGAAAATGGTTTAATAATTCAATACTTTGAAATTGATTCTGATATTATCATATTTTAATTTTATTAAAATATTTTCAATCCGAATAAAAATAATAATTTGTAACAAAATATGTGTATAATATGTAATAACATAATTTTTATGTAAAATTTAAATAATAATAATAATTTCTATAAATTTATATAATAATTTATTTTTAAATTTATATATTTAAATTATAAAATTTTTAATGCTTTAAGTATTCATAAAAATTTGAGATTTAGTTATACTATATAAACATATTTCTATTAATTAAAATTAAATTAATATATTTAGAATGTAAATAATATTAATTTTTAAATTTGATCTTGATGTAAAGATTAATAAAATAAAAAAGATAAAATTTATCTTTAACAAATCTTTAACATAAATTATTATTTATAAATTTATAATATTATTTATAATGTTATTTTTAGAAAAGTAAAAATCAGTTTTGTCATGAAAAATTTTCCGTTATAGAAATTATCAAATAAAAATAATTATATATATATATATATATATATATATATATATATATTATATGTAGCTTTATATAATTGCTATATAATTACTATATAATCGATATATAATTGCTATATAATTGCTATCTAATGTTTTGAAAGTTACTTTCCACAAACGATTTAAAATTTGAAATTTGCAGAATCATTGTTTATTTTATTATTACCCTCAAACCATATAAGGACGAGTTTTGACATTTAAAATAATCAGTATTACTTACATTGCCGTTTAGTTACGAAAGAGTTAGAACGTAGAATCAAATTGTTTCTTTCTTCTTCAATATTTAAATCAAAAATGAAAATAAAAATTCTTCTTTTTTTCACTATTCTCGCATTAATAAATGTTAAAGCGCAAGATGATATTTCAAAATTTTTAACGGATAGACCATATGTACAAAAACAACTTCATTGTATTTTGGATCGGGGACATTGTGATGTAATTGGAAAGAAAATTAAAGGTAAGATTTAGAACATAAATTATTTATTAATTTTATTTATTAATCATTAAATTTTTTAATGTTATTATTTATTTATTAATTTTCTTTTTCTTTTATTTGTATGTAATTTCTTTATAACTTAAATATAAAATATATTCAAAATATTTGTCATAAAAATTTAGTGAAAATAACTGATTTAAATCATTTTGCTTATATCATGACAAATTTTATTTAATATTTTTAATTTTTTAAATTTTTAAATAAATTCAAGCTAAAAATTATTTTATTAGTTCTTATTAATTCTTAAATTATTTGATATATTTTATCCAATTAAAAATTATTTATTATATATATATTAAATAAATAAATATTATATACAAATTAAATAAATAATACATATTTATTTAATACATAATTCAAGTTAATTAAATAAATATAAAAATGATTACTCCCACTTTGTTTTATTTGTTTCTATATTGTATACATCTATCAAATCAAATAAATCTAATATAATATTTGTTAAATCTGTTTATAATAAATTTTCAATATTAGAATAAAAAAAAAAATAAAATGTTTTTTCTATATTTCATTATTATGTAAATACGATCATTAGTTTTGAATAATAAATTTAAAAATAACAAAATTATATTATTAAAAAATAAATAAGTGTTAATAAATAAGTATTATTAAATAATAAATAACTAATTTGTTAATAAAATAATATACTTCTTACATAATAATTGATTAATAAAGAATGAAATATTGAATAATATTTTGCTATAAATAATAATATAATAATAAATAATCTTATTAAAAATCTATTAAACAAATAAAAACAAATGAAATAAAAATAAAACGATTTTACCAAAATTCACTTTCAAACATTTTATTTTATTGTTTCTTCAATAGCAATTACGCATTATTAATAAATAAATTTTGTTATGATTTATCGACAATATTTGCCAAACAATATATTAAGCAAAATCAACAATTTTTTTTCTTAACATGCAAATTTAGGTCGTAAACAGATTTAATAATTCGTTCATATTATAAATACTGTTATGATTCTTGCAGAATTGTTGCCAGAAGTGTTGAACAATCATTGCAATCGATGCACGTCACGACAAGTTGGAATTGCAAATACATTAATACCTTTTATGCAACAAAATTATCCCTATGAATGGCAGTTGATTTTACGACGTTATAAAATAATGAAATATTATTAATATCAAAGATATTAGTATGAAAATTAAAAAACTCAAGATAATAACAATTGACGATGGAACAACTCATTGATAATATCATAAGATGTTCTTAAATTTTGAAATGACGTTAAATAAATTTTTCATAATATTAATAATTTTAATATTAAAAATTTTAAATATCGTTAATATCTATAATATTACTTGTAACTTTGTTTGTAAGAATTATCGAATATCACATATGGATAAAATATAAAATAAAATCATTATGTCTATTAATATTGTATATATTTTTAACACTTTATATTTTAATATTGTTCAATTATTGTTATATGTTAATATTGTTCAAATATTCTTTATGCATATTAAATGATGATAGTGAAATATAATTATCTATTCAATTTAAACATATAATTGCGTAAAATAAAGTTAAAGAATAAGATAGAAAGCTTATATACATATAGATTCAAACGATAAAGCAAGTTGAAATCATAATATAGTTTGCATTTTAATTCGTACGATGATTTTAATATTGAAACAAATATAGATACAATATAAACAGAATATTTATAAACTATGGATCAAATAATAAAAAATTTTATAAAATAAAAATATAAAAAATATATATATAAAATGCGACATATTTTAAATTAATTTTAACATTTAATAATAAAAATTTCCTATTTAAATGAATAAATTACTTTTATTTCTTAAGAAATTTATTTTTTTAAATTTTTAAAATATAAGATATAAAATTAATTGATTAATAGATTTAAATAATTTTATTACTAATATATAATATTTGTTATTCGATGATAAGTATATAAATATTTGATATTTTTAAAAATTATTGTATTGAAAAAATTTATTTACTTTTTATTTCTTTATCGAATATATATTAATATATAAGTTATAAAATTACTAAATATTATAATAATATATAATATAATATTATTATTGATAATAATCCTTGATAAAATATGTAACATAAATGTATGACAGTCATCTTTTATATACGGTAAAGAATAATCTCTTCATTATTCTTGATAGCATGTAGTATTGGTTACGTATAGCTCACTATCAACTATTTCTATCATATTATATATATTTTATATTTTCTTCAACCTTTATATAAGAAGCATTTTAGATTTAGAATTATTAAAGTAAAAAATATTTTTTTTATAAAAAAAATTAATAAAATTAATAAATTTAGATAATAGATAAAATAAATTGTAAATTCAATTTATTAAATTATAATTTATATTTAAAAAGTTTCAAAACAAATTTGAAATATTTATAAATCTATTTTAATTTATACTTCTGTACAAATATTATATTTAATTTTTCAAATAAAAAAAAAATTTTATCAATTAAAATTTTTCAATGAGAATCAATTAATTAAAAAAGATCTATAATCATTTATATAAAAACATTTAAAAAAATAAATAATGAGATTTATGATAATTAAAACAACAAAAAATTTTAACAAAATCTCTTCATTTATTTTAAATTATTTTTAACATTTCATTTTTTATTACATTTTAATATATTGATATTCATATTTAATGACTCCTTCAATTGTATATATGTTTCATAAAAGTGCATGTAAAATACTCAACTAACGCGTTTATCCACTCCCTCCAATGTCCTCTGTATTCGACTATATAATTCGTCAGCTTGTTTCAAGAGTTACAAAGAACATTTTACTTTCCACTGCAGAGGGTAGCTTTGAAATAAGATTTCATTTTACACTATATTACGGTAATTCTCATAAGTTTCAACTTTTTTGATACATCATAAACGTTTATTTTTTAAGATTAAAAATAAAGGAACAAGTTTCAATTACAATATGAAGATTTATCTTTTACTATTTGTCTTGGTCATAATTACTTGTGTAATAGCGGAAGATTATACTACCAAATATGATGATATGGACATTGACAGAATTCTACAGAATGGTCGTATCCTCACTAATTATATTAAATGCATGTTGGACGAAGGACCATGTACTAACGAAGGTAGAGAATTAAAAAGTGAGTATCAATATAATTTTTATAAAATTATAACTAAATGTTTGAACAAAATTTTTTATTTCTCATTTTTTCAATAATTTTCATTTTTCTTTTTTGTAATAATAATTTGTAATAAGTTCAATATAGTATAATAATATTATATTTTGATTTTAATTATATCATGCAATATAATTTTATTAAGATATCTGAATTTGAATTTTGTTTGAATTTAATGTTTAAAATATGAAAATTATATATATAAATTATAATATAATAATATTTAAATTTTTCATTTAAAAAATAAAAATAAAAATAAAAAAATAATATAAAAGTATTATTATTTATATTAAAATATGATTTTATTGCAAATAAAATAAATTATTTGTATCATTTATATATAATATAAAAATAAAATAAATATAAAAGATAAAATTTATAAAAGATATAAATATATAAAAAATATAAATTTATTTTAGTATTATTTTTCAAATATATGTATATATATATATGTATATATCTTTTACGAATCTTATCAAAAAGTATATAATATTAATTTATATATATATTATGTATCATTGTAAATATATTGAAAAGACAAACAAAAAAATATATCATTTTCAAACATTTTTTTTCCATTTATAATTGTTTTTAATATTTTAATTTTTTAAATATTTAAAAAATAGATAAAATAAATAAATTATACGAAAGAAAAAAATAAAAAAATTATACGAAAAATTATACGAAAGAAAAAAATATCTATTTTATAAAAATTGATTTAAAATATTTTAGAAATATTTTTGTTTTTAAAAATATTTTTTTTCATAACTGATCATTTTTAAAATCAAATAGAAAAAGAAATAAAATATTAAAATTTAAAATATTTATATATAATAAATTTTCTTATTAAATTAATGATGTAGTTTTCGAGTACGTTAAAAATTACGCTGATTTCTTTCATAAATTTCTACGTACATTTGCTGCAATGATTACGACAGAGTTTCACTCTCCCTCTTTGTATTACGTAAGTTCCTTTAAACTTTCTCGTTTGTATTACATCGAACTCTCTTAAGTAACATCTAATGTATTATATATATACATGCGATACATTTAAAGAAATATATCACGTTAAGAAAAACGCAACACAAAGGAAAATAAGTTAAATATTCTATTAAATTTTTTAAAAATATTGCATTATAGCAATTATATTAAATTTAAAAAACATAATTTATTTTATATTTATTTTAATCAAATAGAAATTAAATTAAAAGCTAAGAATAATAAAATTGTTTAAATATTTATAAGAAAATTTTCAAAAAAAATTGAAATATATCTAATAATAAATTTATTTATTATAATATTATATGTATTATATATATTATATTTAATCATATGTGATTTAATTATTTAAAATTATGTTGCAGTTATATTATTTTGTGGTAAAAATCTCTTAAAATAATTATAGATTTAAATATAATTGTTTAAAAATTATTTAAATTGCGTATTGTGTATTGTTTTAGAAATATTACCTGATGCTCTATCTACAGGTTGCAATAAGTGCAATGAAAAACAGAAACGTACAGCAAATAAAGTAGTAAATTATTTAAAAACCAAGAGACCAAAAGATTGGGAACGACTTTCCGCAAAATATGATTCTACTGGTGAATATAAAAAGCGTTATGAACATGTATTGCAATTTGCAAAAAATAATTAAACTTATAACATCTAAAGAATAAATTTATGAAGAAATTTATATAATGAAAATATAATAAATCAATCTAATTTACGTATAGACACTTAATAATAATTTTGTTATTTTAAATTGATAATTATAATATTCGTTAAAAATTTCATCTTATTGCATTTAAATGTTTGATTAAATAGTTTCGTTATATTATATATACTAAATATATGTATCTACATGTTTATAAAGTAAATATATATACATCTTTTTTTACAAATACATGTTTTTTAACTATATTTTAAATATTCGTTTATAAAATTCATTTATTTATTAATCTATTTGTGAATGAATTCATACATTGTGAATGAACGGTATACATCGCAATGAAATATTTATAAGTAAAAGACATTGAATTTTGGATTGCATTTAAATCATAAATAAAAAATTTTTAATTCATTCAACTCGCCTTTTCTTGACAAGTGAACCAAGCTGAAAAACATTAATTTTAGTTTGATATCATTTTAATAATATTATCAAAAATATAAAGAACTTACAAGATCTGATATTGCAGGTAAATTGTTAGTTTGATCTGTAACTGTTGTTTCTGGTTCTCTAGTTTCCTTTGGTGGAGCAGCTTTTTTCATATTTCTATGTTGTGGAAAAGTAGGCATCAGTTTGGGATCACATGCTATAAAGCAAATTAAAATATAATAATATTAAAAATATTATATATATATTTATTATATATACATATATATATATATTGTACTTACGCAAAGGAGCTTCCTTAAAATAACTACTTTGTAAACATTCTTCTGCAGTTGCTCTTTTTTTTGGATCATACATGAATAAAAAATTTAATAATCTCAAACCAGCAGCACTTAACCATGGAAACCTTTGTTTTAAATTATTATATGGTTGTTGTTTTAATGTAAAGTTTTGTAATGCTGGAAGTGTATTAAATTCTGGCCAAATTGCTTCACTTGGTGTTCCTAATAAATCAACAATTAATTCTAACTGTGCAATTTCTGATCTTCCAGGCAATAAAGGCCGATGTCCAAGTAATTCTCCTAATAAAACATAAAATGGAAGTTAAATTATTGTATTACAATTTTTATATGTATATAAAAATAAAAAAATGTTTATACCTAGAATGCAACCTGCAGCCCACATATCAACAGAAGTTGTTTGAGTTTTTGCTTGTAATAACAATTCTGGTGCTCTATACCATAATGTTACTACTCTAGGTGTCATTGGTTTTAAAGGTAAACCAAACCACCTAGCTAGTCCAAAATCAGCAATTTTTACACATCCTTTATCTGTCATTAGGAGATTTGAGACTTTCAAATCTCTGTGTACAATAAAATTATGATGCAAATAACGTAAACCTTTTAGTACTTGTAAAACAATACATTTAACTTGACTTTCTGAAAATGGAGCTTGCATATTGTCTAACAAACTTGCTAAATCTTGTTCACAATATTCCATAGCAAGAAATATGCTTTCTAAACTTCTTCCTACTACTACTTCTCTTAAATGTACAATATTTTCATGACGACAAGATAAAAGAACAGATATTTCTCTTAAACCACTGACTGGAAGACCATCTTTTTCATGTTCCATTCGAACTTTTTTCAATGCTACAACTTTGTCATTTTTAGTGTCTCTTGCTCTATAAACAATTCCATAAGTACCTTCTCCTATACGATTTAATTTTTCAAATTCAGATACAAATCTGCATTTACCTAGCTATAAAAAAAATAATATTTATCACATTATAATAAAAATAATTGAAATCATAAAAAAATAATCATAAAAAATTATAAATTAAATTTTTACAATATCTTGTTCTGGTATTTCCATTGGTTTGCCAGTCAAAAATGATGTTAATACTCCTCTCCTAGTTATTGGTGCTGATGGATCAGGGCCTGATTCAGATGCAGTCTTTTTATCAGTATCATTATTTTCTACTGATTTTTTCTCTAATGTTTCGTCTGAAAGATTATTAAAATTTAATATTAATTATTTATTAGTCATTTTGATTATTATTTGATATAATTATTTAAATTAGTTTTTATAAAAATCATTAATATTTTTGAAATTATTTTTATTAATTCTATTCTATTTAATATCATTATCACTTAAGTAATAAATTAAAAATTGAAAATATTTAAAGATTTCAAAAATTGGTTATATCAATTACATAAAATTTTTAATTAAAAAAATATATTTTTTACAAAATAGATAAGATCATTAATAAACATTTAAATTATATATATTTAATTATTTTTTAATTTTTAGAAATCTTTTTCATAAATTTTAAATCTAAATTATACTTCGAAAAAAAATAAAAATATTAGTAATAAATTTAAATTTAAGATTATCTGTCAAATAAATTTTTAAAAATCGCCAAAAAAAATAGAATTATTTTAATATAAAAATAATATATAATAAATGATGAAATATTTAAAATGTAATTACTTAACCTAACATAATAATATTTATATTGTAATTATAATAAAATAAAAGTATACCTTTTGTCATCGTGTAATTTTTTTAAAAAAATATTTTTGAAATTATATTTATTTTTCTTTTTTACATTCGTGTCTTAGAAAACGTAGATGAAAATACTATCGACTACCAATAATTACTTGGTCGAGTACAACAGTTTTCAATAATTTTCTATAATTCGTTTGCACCATTGAAAATATAATATGTAGATTCGATAACAACGATGATAATAAATATCATTGAAAAATGCGCTACCTTACGTTATTTTTAAAAACAAAATGAATGAAAAATTAATATTTTTAAGTTTGTTATAAATATTGTTATAAATATATATATATATATATATATACATGAATAAAAATAATAAAGATTACATTTAATTTTTATTACTAATTAGAACATTAATAATTGTTTTGTATTTTTAATTTTATGATAAATTTGCATATTTTTTTTCTTTAAAAAAATATTTTATATATTAATGGAATAATTATAGAATTTATTTATAAATATTATTATTTAATAAAGCATTGATTTATAATATCGACTTTTTATTTTTTATTATTTACATGCATATTATATTATATATTTTAATAATATATTTTCTAATTTTACATATGTATATATATTTTATATATATTTGTTTAACTTTAGTACTTGTAAGTTTATGATATTTATATTATGATCGATATAGTATAGTGATAAATAGTACAACATTTATAACATAAAATAATGTATTTCTAAAGGAAATGTGGTTTTGTTTTTCATAGTGATTTCCTTAAGATTTTTTTTAAGTTTATGTAAATTTACTTATACTGAAAATTATTAAATTTGCAATTTGAATACGAAATTATAGTATATTTCAAGCATGTAAACTAAAAATTAGAAATTGATCATTAAAAGTTAACCTTATTTTTATTACCAACGGTTTTTTGTAAAATTGATATATTTTTGTTTTTTAATTAATATGAATGAATATATGACAATAGAAAAATCAAATATATTGAACTATTATGTTATCAATGGTGTTTGATATTGATGGAGTATTTATCAGATAGAACAAATTTTTAGATAAAAAGACAATTTTCGTGAAAAGAAATTATAATTTTATATGTAAAATATTAAAATCTAAAAAATGAGTTCTCATCATGAATTGAACATATCAATTGAACATCCAATTTCTGGTGATATAGATCATATTAAGACACTTTCTGAAGATATTGGTGCTCTTTATCTTTCAGATGATTATTCAGATGTTACTTTAATTGTTGGTGGACAAAGATTCAATAGTCACAAAATTATTTTAGCTGCACGTAGCCAATATTTCAGAGCTCTTCTGTTTGGTGGTTTAAAAGAATCCACACAACATGAAATTGAATTAAAAGATGCTAATCTAACTGGATTTAAAGGTTTACTTGAATACATATATACAGGACGAATGTCTCTTACAGACCGACGTGAAGAGGTATTAATTCATAATTATTAATTTTTATTAATTTTTTTTTAATTATTATTCAATTGTTATTGTTTTTAGGTTGTATTGGATATTCTTGGATTAGCACATCTTTATGGATTTTCAGAATTAGAAACGTCCATATCAGATTATCTTAAAGAAATATTGAATATAAAAAATGTTTGTCTCATATTTGGTGCAGCACTTCTTTATCGATTAGAATTTCTTACTAAGGTATTAATATGATGTCTAATAAAAAAAAAAATTGATGATGATATTAGATAAAATTTATATCTATCTGTATCAAATCTAGGTTTGTCATGAATACATGGATGAACATGCATGTGAAGTAATTCAGCATGAGAGTTTTTTACAATTAAGTGCTGATGCTTTGAATGAATTAGTATCAAGAGATTCTTTTTATGCGCCAGAAATTGATATCTTTTTAGCTGTAAGAGCATGGGTGAATGCAAATCCTGATACTGATGGCAAAAATGTTTTAGGTGAATATAAAAGTATTAAAAACAAGAATTTTATTAAAAATATATTTTAAAAATATCATTTATAATAATACTATTCAATTGATTAGACAAATTTTGTAGATAAGGTACGATTAAACTTAGTTTCAATCACGGATCTTTTAAATGTTGTTCGGCCAACTGGATTAATTTCTCCAGAAGCAATCTTAGATGCAATAGCTGCAAGAACACAAACACGTGATTCAGATCTTAATTATCGTGGTCGGTTACTTATTGATGTGAATGTTGCCCATCCTATGCATGGTGCTCAAGTTCTACAGGGTGAAATGCGAAGCTATCTTTTAGATGGAGATACAAATAATTATGATATGGAACGCGGGTAAATTATTAATTCATTTTTATTCAATTATTCATTTAAATAATATTATTTTTTTACCAGATATACTAGACATACCATTACTGAATCACGAGAACATGGTATTTTAGTTAAATTAGGAACTCAGTGCATCATCAATCATATTAAAATGTTGCTTTGGGATAAAGATATGCGTTCATATTCTTACTATGTAGAAGTAAGTTAAAATAAAAAATTGAATATAAATTAAAATATAATCTTTATATTTAATTTTTTATATCATAATTATTTTTTTTATAGGTTTCTATGGATCAAAAAAATTGGGTTCGAGTTATTGATTATACAGAATATTTTTGTCGCAGTTGGCAATATTTATACTTTGAACCAAGAATAGTTCTTTATATTCGTATTGTTGGAACAAATAATACTGTAAACAAAGTAAAGTCGTTATTAAAATATATTTAATTTTTTTTATATTTATATTTTACAACTTTTATTTTTAAAGGTTTTTCATCTTGTAAGTTTTGAAGCATATTATACAAATCATACAGAAAAACTTCATAATGGTTTTGTTATTCCAACACGAAATGTTGCTACTATGGATCAAAGTGCAACTGTTACAGAAGGTGTTTGTAGGTATGTATGTTTGTATAAATATATAAATTTATTATTATTATTATTAATTTATTATAAATATATAAATATAAAATAATATATAAAAATTAATAAAATTATAAAATTAATTTATAAGTTTTTAATTTTAGATCTCGAAATGCACTATTAAATGGTGATACATCTAATTATGATTGGGATAGTGGATACACATGTCATCAAGTTGGATCTGGTTCTATTTTAGTACAACTTGGACAACCATATATTATAGATTCTATGCGGTATATATTATTTTTTTTTTATATATAATAATTCAAAAAATATGAAATTTCTGGTATTTATATATATATATATATATAAATATAGATTATTACTGTGGGATTGCGATGATCGTTCATATTCTTATTACATAGAGGTATCTGGTAATTCTTGGAGTTGGGTTCTAGTTGCTGATAAAACTAGAGAAGCTTGTCGTTCATGGCAAACAATACATTTTGAACCTGCTCGTCCTGTTGTTTTTATACGTATTGTTGGAACACACAATACTGCAAATGAGGTAAAAACATCATATTTATTATATGTTGTATTATATGTTTAATAACAAAATTTAATAATAATAAATTTAATATAACAAAATAAATCAAAATTTGTTCATAATTAAACATATTAGGTTTTTCACTGTGTTCATTTTGAATGTCCTGCTCAAGTAAATGATAAAATTGTAAATAAATCTATGGTAAACAAAGGAAAGCAATCAAAAAGTCATGATTCTGTGCTTTGGTCATATGTATCACAACCTCCAGAAACGGCTACAGAAGCAGTGAATATCGATCATGAAGAAACAAATTCAACAGATGTTTTTTGGGACAATTAATTAATTGAGAATAAACCATTGTGTAAAATTTTGTTGATACTTCAAAGACTATAAAATTAAATTTTTGTTTGTTTTCTGTAAACTTTCTGTATTAAAATGCTTGTATAGTAGTAGTAGTAATGATTGTATAAATAATTGTAAAATAAATTTTTAATTCAATGAAACACATTTTAATTCATTTTCATATGAAAAGAAAATAAAAAACTATGCGATACTTAACTGTATATAAATTTATTTAAAGCATTTAATAATTACTAGTAGAGATTTATGGATTAAAAATAGACTTGGAATAATGTAGTAATATTTTAACAATCATTAATTTATAATAATATATGTACATTTTTATAAAATGATATAATTTAAAATAAAAAATTGATGGAAAAAAAAAGAAAATTTATATGTAATTTCAATATTTAAATTATATTTTATTATATATAATATTTGTATATAATTGAATATATACGTTCAATTAGTATTAAAAATGTCCCTAGCAATTTTTTTTATATCGCTTGATAGTATAATTTATATGGTAATACATAAATTGTAATAAATTTAATGTAAAAATATAGTTACTCTTGTAATGTTAAAGTTTTTAGCTTTGACTTATATATAATGACTATAATATTTTCATAAACAGAAACTATAATCTTATTTACAAATCACATACACATATATATTAGAATATATAGATAACACTAGTTTACAAGTAAATACTGTTTTAATGTGGTGGTATTAATGCAATATATATTTATATATCTTAATATAAATAATATTAAAATAAAATAAAATTTAATGAATTAATTTTGAGAACATATACTTTTTAATAGTGTATCATAAAAAAGATAACTAAAAATAATGAGGTGACTAACCTATTTTGATTACAAGTACGACCTAGTACAAATACAAATAATATAGACAATTAAAAACAGCGGTAAAAAGTAACAACATCGGTAAAAACAACGATAATATTAAACATAATTTAGAAGTTTTTTATAAATATATGAATCTCGTCGTCTTTATCTTTTGAAAAATATAAAAATATCGATGTTTGAATGTAAATTACAAAAATATTTAATGAAATATAAAAATCATTCATTGATTTTATTAAATATTAAACATACAATTTTAAATAGTGAACTTTTGTTCATGAATAACTTCCATATAATGGAAGTTTTGATATGATTGTTCAATATAGTATGCTATATTTTGGAAATGGAATACAAGAAAATTATTATTATTATATTAAGAGGGATTCGATTAGATAAAGAAAAGAATTATTGCTATTTTGGCAATTATTTTCTTAACAAGGATAAATGGCCATGGCTGAAAATTCAGAAAGTGAAAAATATCCTTTACACAAATGCATATTTCAAGGCGATGTTAAAACTTTAAGTTCTTTAATCAGAACTTGTAATATTGCTGAAAAAGACAGACAAGGTTAATAATTATTATAAATTTATTAATTTTGTACAAAATATGCCAATAATTATTTGTAATTAATTATAATTTATAAAATAATTTCATTTTTTTTAAATAGGAAATACTCCTTTACATTTAGCCGTCATGTTAGGAAGAAAAGGTAAAAATATTAAAAATTTTTAATATATATATATATATTATATATGATATTATATTTTATATATATATATATATATTATATATATTATATATAAAATTCTAAATAAAATTTCAGAATCGATCCAATTGTTACTTGCACATAGTGCACCAGTAAAAGTAAAAAATTCAGCTGGGTGGAGTCCACTTGCAGAAGCAATCAGTTATGGAGATAGACAAACCAGTTAGTATAAATAATCTTTATTATTATAAAGAAATTATATATATTTATTAACCTTATTAATTGCATAATTTATAGTATCATCATTACTAAGAAAATTAAAACAACAAGCTAGAGAGCAGATGGAAGAAAGAAGACCAAATTTAGTTGCAACATTACATGAAATGGGAGACTTCTATATGGAATTAAAATGGGATTTTCAAAGTTGGGGTACATAATGTTATATTTGAATTGTGATTTTAGTTATAATTGTAATTATAATTATATCAACTTACAAATGTTCAACTTTATAGTGCCATTAGTTTCTCGTGTTCTTCCTTCTGATGTTTGTAAGATACACAAAAGTGGAGCATCCATTAGAATGGATACTACTTTAGTAGATTTTAATGATATGAGATGGGAAAGAGGTGACATCTCATTTATTTTTAATGGTGACCAAAAACCAAGTAAATCATTGGCAATACTTGATAATAAAACTAAACGTTATCAAAGAGTAGGATGTGAGGTTAAATTACTTTCTTATTAATCAACATTTATAATATATATATATTATATTATATTATATATTATATTATATTATATATAATATATTATATTATATTATATATAATATATATTATATTAAATATCTTTTATTATCAATTGTAGCAATGAATTTGTTAATTAATTAATTTTTTTAGGAAACGGAATTAGAAATAGAAGATGAAGTTGATATTCTTATGTCAACTGATATTATGGCAGCACAAATGTCAACAAAAGGTATTACACTTTCAAGAGCTCAAACAGGCTGGATATTTCGTGAAGATAAAAGGGTAAGGCCAGCATTGTTGGTTTTGCCTATGATTCTTCTCCTCCTTCTCCTGCTCTTTTCTTAAAATTTTTTTGAGATATATCTCAAATATTTAATAAAGGAGATGGTAGGGCCTTTCCATGCGGACTTTTACCAAATCAACGGATTGGTTTTGGAAAGTAGAAAACGAAGAGAACATTTAAGCGAAGAAGACCTACAAAAAAATAAGGCTATTATGGAATCACTAATCAAAGGAAGTTCACAAGGATTTGCCAATGGAAAGGTAAAAAAAATAATAGAATCTTTTTATTTTATTAGTTAATTTATTAATTTTTAGTCTCAAGTTAGAAGAGCTTCTTTAAATCCACCACCAGACTCAAATATTACTTGGGAAGAATATATTATGGCTCCACCTGGTCAATGTCCACTTCTTGGAAGAAATCTTGTTTATAAAGAAAGCAGTAAATCATTTAAAGCAACAGTTGCCATGAGTCCAGATTTTCCACTAACTGTTGATATGTTACTCAATGTTTTGGAAGTAATAGCACCTTTCAAACATTTTAGCAAATTACGAGAATTTGTTTTAATGAAATTACCACCTGGTTTTCCTGTCAAAATTGATATTCCTATTTTACCTACGGTAACAGCAAAAATTACTTTTCAAGAATTTGCTTTTAGAAACGATATAGATCCCAAATTATTTCAAATACCACCAGATTATCTTGAAGATCCTACAAGGTAAAAAATTTTTTTAAAAATCATAGTTTTCTCTTACAATTTATATGATTAAGTGGATTATTCAATTACGAACAATTATGTTATGTTTTTTTTAAATATTTATTAATAAATTCTAATTTTTTTTTAGATTTCCAGATTTATGACAGATTTATGACATATCTTCTATGTGCTGAAGAAAAATAATTCAAGTTAATTATCACAATAAAAAGAAAATTAATTTTTTGGAAAAAACTATTTAAATAGAATTATTTGATTTCTAAATTTTTTAAACATATTGCTGCCAGGAAGGCCTCCCAAAAAATACTCTTTAAAGAAAGATTGTTCTTTTGAATACATGTATTCTTGTTGATAAAACTACACAATAAATTTAAGAAATCATATTTACAAATACTATTACTATTACTCTATTTACAAATATTATTTGTATGCTAAATCTCTTAAAGAAAAAAACATCTTAATAAACTTATGCATATTATGACATGTTGTCTATGTTACATGTCTATATTACAGAATGCATAAAATGTAATTATTATGCATCTTATTTTTCCTTTGCTTTAGTTTTAAATTTTTCTTCTTTTTTATAGCAATTTAAGAAAATATTTGTGAAATAGAAATGGTCATAATATTTATTTATAAAAAAATTTTTTTTTAGAAATATTTTTAAATAGTAACAAATATAAATACAAAAGCGTGTACAAATAAATTTTTTTTTTAATAATGATCAAGTAATATTTATAATTTTACTTCATTATATCGTTTTTAAAGTTCTTAACAACAAAGCGATTTAATGGAATTGCTTTAAATTTATCATTTTACACATATCTAGTATTTCGTTAGCTAATTTAAAATTATAATATGTAATACATATATGTGTGTGTTAATTTAAAATTTTATAAATAAAAATTATAAAATCGTAATTTTATGTTTTTATTTTGAATCATGTTCATTAAAAATATTTGTTTTAAATCTAATTCGTAATACGTCACTAATTAATAAATATCTAGATAAACCTTAAAAAAAAATATTTCTATCACTAGATATTAATTTATTTTATTTCTTATAAAATATTGAATAAATTGCAAAAATTGTACGAATATTCATTATAAATTATTAAATAAATTAATCTATTTATAAAATATTTAAAGTATTAAAAATTATTTTATTTTTATTTTTTGAAATCTAGAGTATTGATATCTTAAAATATATTTATATACATTAAAAAATTTTAATAGACAAATAAATATTTCTGATTTTATTATAAGATTTGGAAAAAAACAAAATGTATATAATAATATATAAATTAAATTTATTATATAATACTATTTTGATCCATTTCGATGAATCTAATAAAATCGTGTGGTTATTTATGTTTTAGTTTGACTTGATTTGATTCGGAACTGCACTGCTTATTTGCTTAGCAGCAAATAGTGACTAATCAGTCTAGACTATAGGCAGGTATAAAAGATTATTAGTCGGCGTCTTTTAGAGAATAAAAATATAACAGTTTTGATTAAAATTTAAATTGATAAAATTTCAATGACTTAAAAAAATGCTGCGTCGTATGAAATTAATTTTGTGTTTTTGCATCATTCTGTGTGCGATAGGCAATAAAGCTGACGACAATCAAGTTTCATTAACCAAACTTGGTACAAAAACAGGACCGACTTTAAAATTCTTCTATTGGTAAATTTTATAAATTTAATTGCAAAATTTTATTATTCAATCTTTATTTATTCAATTTTTTAATATATATATATTATTTGTATATTTATAATTTCATCTAATGATATAATTTTTGTCTTTTTATTTTTTAGTTACTCTTGTGGGTATAGAAAAGTTTTTGAAGAATATGTCAATATTCTTAAACAAAAGTATCCAGAATTACAAATTAATGGAGAAAATTATATTCCTTCTCATACTAAGATGCTCATTGCTAAATTATTAGTAATTATAATTTCTTTTTAGAATCTATAACATTATAATTATTAATATAACATGTTTTCTTTTTTTTGTATTTAGAGTTTTGTAAAAATTTCACTGATAGTTTTAATAGTAAGTGGACTTGATTTAGGACAGCCACCAGCATCATTGTGGCAATGGTGTCTAGATAATCGATTCTATTCTTGTATAATGATATTTTTTATTTTTAATGCCATAGAAGGACATTTCATATCATCAGGAGCTTTTGAAATACATTTTAATGGTAAACAATATTTTTGTAATTACAATAAATATATTTATTCAAAATTTTTAAAAGTATATTTATGTCATTATATTTTAGATGTTCCTGTGTGGTCCAAATTGGAAACTGGAAGAATACCACAACCATTTGAACTATTTCAAATAATAGATACTCATTTGAGTATGCAGTATGCAGATGTAGATATAGGATAGATTAATAATTTTAATAAGAGATCAAATGGCATTTATTTGTACCAAATGTTAAATCACTGTGGTTATGGAGCTTTCATTATTGCAACTCTGTAATTGTTAAAAACAATTATTATCATTTCTATGTCTTATATATGTATTTTATTATGAATCTTGCTATCTTCTCAATTCAGTTGAGATAATACATTCAAAACAGAGTTTGCATAAAGAAAGCAGAAATAAAACCTTTTAATATTGCTCAAAACTATTTTTCATTTTCCATCTTGATTTAGGAATTGGGGAAAAGATAATTAGTATCAATTGAAGTTTATAGGTACAGAAATAAGTTTTTAGAATCCATATGATACATTTTAATTAAAATAAATACTTTTATTTGAAAATATAAAAAATTCATAATTATTGTTATTATTTTTATTAAATATATTTCATTTTTGATAATGATTATTGTTTTCAATATTGATTTTAATAAAATTTAACATATAATAAAAAAAATTTTTTATAAATATCAATGTACTATTTTTATAAATAGTATAAATTTTTTATTTATATTATTTCGTAAAACTTATATTCTTGAAAAAAAGTTATGTTTATATTTCTGTCATATTTTAATAATATAAATTTGAAATATATAAAAATATAATTATTATTATTCTGTTAATGAAAACTTTTATATTATATTTAATATATAATATATATATATATATTAAATATTACTTTTTATTATTTTATTCTTTATAATATTAAAAATATTAAATATTATTATATTAAAAATATAAATTTATTTTCTTCGATTTTTTGAAATATATTTTTAACTATCAAATAAAATTTAACTGATTAAAAAAATAAATAATACGATTTTATAATTGTACAATTAATATATAACTATATATATGTACGTACATAAATGTGAAACAAGAAATATATATTGATATGTATATATTTATCATTAAAAAATAAAAAAAATCTATTTTTAATTCTTTAGTTTATATTTATAAAAAATATGTTTTAAATTTTTATAAATTGTTATGTATCTTATATAATTTGAAATAATAATGATTGGCATCTATTTACTGTAAATGTATAATATAAGAGTATTGAACTAATATGATATTTAAATATGTAATTTAAGAATATTGAATTAATATGATATTTAAATATATATTATATTATATTATGTTTAATATTAAAATAAATACATATTATATTATATTTAAATATAAATTTTTAATATTTTTCTCTCTTTCTTACTTTTTCTCTTTCTGTATTGAAAATGCGTCCGTTAAACAACCCTTTTGTTTCATGTATAAATTCGTAATTAAGAAAATGTTAAGAAAATTTAAAATTCGATTATATATAATTATTACTCAATTTTAAAAATATATAAATATGTTATTATATTCAAATTATTCCATTTTTATTTATAGTAAAATTTAAGATAATTTAATGTATAAATATTATTCAAAATATTTAAATATTGCACTTTTTGAAAAAAAAAAAAATAATTTTAGGATCATTAAAAATAATATAATTTTCTTTTTTTATAATAATAATTTATATAATAATTAATTTTACAATTCAATCATATAAATCTCAGACTTATAGATTTTATGAAGGTCCAAGGCTACCAACAAATTCAGTGTGTTTCTTAATCACGAAAGATTTTTTCTAAGGAAGCAAAAGGATCATAGCTAAGTCTGACATACGCATGTTTCATGATAAGAAACGATAGGTGTTTGACCGTCAAGCAAAGAAATTATAATTTAATTGTAGTTAGTGATATCGTTGAAGAATTAGGGGTTATGAAATTAAATCAAATTATAATCTATAACCCGGTTTCTGTAGAGTGATTCAAGTGGAAATTGAAAATCAGGATTATCCGAATTCATTTCTGTACTTTACAATTTTATTCTCTTACTATGCATTCTTTCAATTTAATGAAAGCTATATTTTAACAAATTTTTTATTTTATTATTTTATTTTACGAAGCGAAAGGTCAATTATAAATATTTCGCGCTAACAGCGCATCAAAACGTGAAACAAAAATCGGAGCGGCAGAGTTTAAATGAAAGCTCAAATGCGGCATCTTTTTAGTTCTCGTATTAGAAATCAAAATTTGCTATTATTGAATTATCGAACAATAGAAAAAGATATACTATAAATTTATTTTGTGCCAAAAATTTATTGTTGATTTATTTAGTGAACCAATGTTGTACATTTTCAATGTATTCTGAGTTCTTAAAAAGTATCTCCAGACAAATGTATCAAAAAATAGTCAGTCTGGATGATCATGGATGTTGACTACACAGTAGTCAGTTTAAAACGATCTAATAGTGCACCCATGATCAATAAGATCACTGCAACAATGTCTGTAACATCACCTTCCGCTTCTGCACCAAGGTATCTTTTATAAAATTTGAAATCAATATAATCTAAATATTAAATTTAATTATAGTTAATTAATCAAAATTATATTATATAATTTGAAAAAAAATAATTTAATTATTTTTTCAGGAATGTTCCTTCAAATTTTAACATATTTTCAAATTCACCTCGTATACGACGCTTCAGCACTAGTGTAAGAACAAATCTTTCTTTATAAATCTCAATGTCTATTATATATTATTTTAAAATTATAAAAGAATAACTGTTTAAAATTGAATATAAGTAATAATTATATAATAATTAACTTTATTGATAATAAGATAATTATTTCTGATGTCTAATTTAATGATATTCTATATCATTAATTGCATTTTTTTAATTAAGAAATAACTTTTATTTTAGAATTCTGGAACTGTTCCTAGATTAACACCACGTGTAAGTCAATTGAGACAAGAAGAATGTATTGATGTTGCTGGCCGTGAAGCAGCACATGAAAAAGAAATACATAGTGCCATGCAGATCTCTCAATCATGGGAAGATCTTACTATAGAAGCTGAAGGATTGTCTTTTAAAGATTCAGAATCAGCTTCATTGCAATTCAAAATAGAATCACGACCAATTACTAAACGAATTCTTGATCCATTGAGCATCAATTTATCTGTAAGTGGTCCAACTATGTATTCTTCACCATCACCAACAAGAACTGGTTTTGGTCAAAGACAATGCTATTCACCTGGTGTTCATGCAGCTACATGGAAGAATAATTTATCACCTAGTCCCACTAGAAAAGCTTTTGCTACAAGGTATACTTATTTCTTTATATTTAACAAAATCTAGTTTATTAATATGACTTTGTTAATTAATAAGCTTTATATTTAGACGAAGTCTAAGTCCTATTGCAATTCGACCAAGTTGTTTAGCATCAGTTAAGAGAAAATTTGAATTAGATGATTCTGGAATGGATCAATTACAACGTCCTGCAAAACGTATTTCTGGTTTGTTAACTTCTGCTGCATCTAGGTAAATTTGTTATTTAAAATAGAAAATTTTTTTAAATTGATAATACAAATTAGTATTTATTATATTTTATTTTTTAATATAGATTGGATGTGGCAATATCTAGTCTACATCCAGGAACTATTAGTTCAGCTGGAACTCCAGAATCTTGTTCCAGTCTTGATTCTCTTGGTTTTTCTTTCCGACCTGTGCATAGTCCGTCACCCGGTTCAGGTGTTTCTTCAATTGTTAATGATGATCCATCTTCCTCATCATCTTCGTCTTCCTCATCTTCTTCCATTATCTCTTCTTGCACCACTATTTCATCAGAGGGATCAAATATACAAGCCAAAACTTTTAAAGATATACAAGATAAACTGACTTCACAAGAAAATAATGAATAAAAAAGTATCTAAGATAGATTACTCTAAAAGAGGAACATGCATCATTAAAACGATAAACTTATTCTTGTAATACAATAATAGTAAAAAGTAATCATTAGAGCGACTAAATTTACATATTAAATTTATTGATAGATCGTTTTTTCACATTTAATATCTATTTGCATTCGGATCATTTCTATTTATTAATTTTTTTATTGTATAAATTGTTAAAATATGAATTAGTTGCATAAATGATGCTTTCATTTTTGTTAAAGTATTTTTAATATTTATATCGTCAAATTAGGTTGAAATGATAAAATACATATACAGATACATACATATGTGTAATATAAACGCAGTTCTAAGACCAAAGCGAATTATTTAGGAAAATATGCGTGCTTCCTACCTTTAAGACTGAATTCTGCGTTTTCTAAATACATCGAATCCAAAAGCTTTTTTTTGCTTAAAAAGGATACATATATATAATATCAATTATCATTTTTATGACATTTAAGCATACATTATTATAATTGAGACTTTCTTGTCAATGAACAACTTTGTTAATGTATCCTTTATGCGATTCTTTTTTTCAAAATAAGTAGATAAATAAGCATAAGTATAGTGTACATCAATAATTCGTGCATTAATAGTATTATTGATTCTATGAATCTCCAATCCTGTATAGTGTGTAAATAAACTACCCATAGCATGTACTTTTATTCTATGTATACAATATTTCTGAGAATGAGTAATGTACAAGATGAAAAAGTACTTTTTGGGCGAAATAAATATGAAAAATTAAATAAAATACTTTTGTATTTATTTTGAAATATATATACAATGTAATTAACTTAAATATAAAAATATAAAAATAATAAATAAATATAGCCAATATTTTGTTAAAATAAATATAATAATTTATATTTCTTAAAAGATAATAATAAATTTATTATTGCATAGAAAAATTTAAATATCACAAGTTTGCAGTAAAACAAATATAATATTTTTTATTTATTATTTATTATTTTCTTTAGCAAAGTATTAACTAAAACAGAGAATTCTAAATTAAAAAAATATGCGATCAACATTTAGTAAGCAAAAGTTTATTTTAAAATTTAAGAGGGCATAAGTTATAAAAAAAAAAAATATATTTTTTCAAAAATTTATCTAACTATAACTTGTAATTGTAAGTTACAAATTATTTTATTTGCATGTAATATTTATATAATATATAATTTAAATAATATATAAATTAATATCAAATGAATATTTTCATATATCATTTATTATATTTCATATATTTATAAATATTCTCTTTGATTCTATTAATTGATGTTACTATAGCCAATACTATTGATTATGCATCTAATTTATAAAAATGATATATGATATATATTATCATATATATGATATATATGATAAAATAGTAAAAAAAAATTCCTTTTTATAATTTATATTTATAGTTTTTGGATTATGGAACCAAATTGAAATATTTATATTATACATGAAAAAATGAAGCTAAATATTTAAAAAAATTTCTATAATTATTATATATATAATTATATAATTCGATATAATTTTTTTTAATATTATATTCAATATTATTATTATTATATTCAATATTATAATTTATTATTATTTATATTATTAATTTTATTAGCTTATTGCTTTTACTTATATATTAAACTTTTTTATGCAAATTTATATTAAATTTTTTATTTCTAATTTATTTTGCAAGTTAAGCAATCATTTCAATTTTAGCTTAATTTCAGTTCTTTTTATCGTTTTTTTTTGAAAATCTCACAATTTACATTTTTCATTTAATATTGTCTTTAATATGATTAAAGTATAATAAATTTTTTATAGTTTTCAGAATAATAGTTCATTATCACTGAAGTAATCAATTTTTTAAATCTTAAAAATTCAAATACATATATTTTCATTACAAGTTTCATTCAGATACTTATATCTATATTTAATCTATATTTAATTTTATATCTATATTTAAATCTGTGTATACATTTTATAATTTATTTACTACTAATTCTATTAATGTTAAAATGGAACAGATCATAAACAATCATTATATTCATCACTTGCATTAATAGCTTATAACTAACATGTTAAATGTATTTTAATACAATTATAATTAAAAAAATTTCGATATAATTATTTGTGCGTTATTTTAATACTTTTTGAACTTATATTTTTGAACTAATACTTTTAGAACTTTCTGAAAAAATTTATTTGATTTTTGCCTTATATCCTCTTAAAATATTATTTGTCAACATAATAAATTTTTATGAAATATTATAATATAATATAATAATATATATTATATTATTGTATACATAAATAAAAAATAATGATAAAACCAATTGTAATAAACGAATTAATACTATAATATTTTTAATATAAAATTTTTTCATATGAATGATACATATTCATATAAATATTAGTTATAAAAACACTAGTAATAGTCAATGAAGACAAAATTTTGAATATTTTTTATATATAAAATTCTAATAATGAAAATAATATTTTTTCATATTTCTAATTATTGAAAAGATATCAGATTTCAAAAATACGGACATTTACAGATAAATAAAAGCAACAAAACTTCAATATACATAAGAAAAACTAATTACAATTCTTAATTATATTGAACTTATTTAATATAATAACAATTTTTTTTTGTTATTGACTATTTGCTTCAAGATCCATATCTGACCACACAGCTTCAGTTTCACTTTCATCAGGTGCTTCATCATTATCAGTATCTGGCAAACCATCACCAACATCATAGGTTGTATCTGTTTGTTCTTCACCCACAGTCATATAATAAGTTGAATCTAGTTTATTCGAAGAGTTATCTAATCTGTGCATGCCTTCCAATGCTCTCCTATTGCTTGGATCTAGACTAATTTGAGATATTATATCGATTTATATAATTTTCAAAATATGTATTAAATTTTATATTATACATTATTTCTGATAAATTTAAGTAATTATGTATGTATATAAATATACAAAAATGTTATAAAAAATCTTACTTTAAAGCAATTGCATAATGATCCAAAGCTTTTTCTTCATTATGAACTCTTGCCCATAGATCTCCAAGCATCTGATGTAATTTACATGCTGTTTGTATTTCTACTTGTCTTTCAAGTAATGCAATTGCAGCTTCCAAATTCATTTCTTGTTCATATATTTCAGCTAATAAATATACAGCAGGTAAATAAATTTCATCTTGAAGCAATGCTTTTTCCAAAAGATTTTTTGCTTTTCCAACAGAAACTGGATCTTTCATGAGTACAGATGCGTAAAGCTACACAAAGTTATTTTCAATTTGTAATTTATAAATTATCTTTCAAAATTATATATTTAATTATATAGTTTATAAATTTATAAAAATTTAATTTGTATAACTACCGTGAGAACTCTTGCAGTATGCCCAAGTTGTTTACAAGATCCACTGGCAATATTGAGAGCTTCTCGCAATCTATGCATTCCTACAAGACAATCTACCAAACCCTTATGTGGTTCATAACGGTATGGTTTTAATTGGACAGCATGCCTAAAGAAGAACAATGCACCTTGATATTTTTTTTGTTCTATCAGAATGTTTCCTCGAAGAATTGTTGCTTCTATATCATTTGGATTTAAATTTAAAGCTTGTGCTGTCAATGTATTTGCTCTACCAAGCTTTCTAGAAGCATAAAGAGAATATGCCATGGCAACATATATTTCTCCAGTACACTCATTGCTTGCTGTTATTATTGGAATCAGTCTTTCAAGTTCCTTAATACTGTGTGTTTTGTACAATACTGCAGCATAAACATCAACTCTATTAAGAAAAAAAAAAGATTTGAGAAATGTAATAATTAGAAAAAAAATTTTTAGAGCTAATAATTATCTTAATTTTCTAACATTATAAATTACAATGCTATTATATAATGCATTATATATTTTTAAATATTTTACCCTTTCATAACATCTGGTTCTATAATTCTGGCTCTTCGTAAGCATAATAAAGCATTTTTATCATCTCCAGCATAATAATAGCACTCTCCCATTGTTGTTAATAAATTAAAATTATCTCTTAGAAGGTTAACATTATCCAGAGATCTTAATGTTGATACTGCATGTGTATATTCTCTATTATGTATATGTGCATGAGCTTTAATCCATGTATTCAACCAATCTAAATTTGATAGATTGGATGCACAACCTACTATTAATGAATTTACTTCAATCCCTTTTACTCCAAGGGATAAAAGACCTTCTGCAGCTTCTAAAGCTAATGGACATTCTCTTAAAACTTCCTTATAAGTAGTAATTGCAGAACGTTCCATTCCTTGTTCTTGAAACATTTTTGCAAGAGCCATATTTACCTTAAAAATTAAATTTAACAAACAATGTCAATATTTTATTAACATTAAGATTAAAATATATTTTCATAAATTACCTTTGGAGTTCTTTGTTTACCAGGAATACTTTGTAGTACTTGAAGTGCTTCTTGAGAATTTTTTAATTTTATTAAGCATAAATGAATTTGAAATTTTATATCAACATCAGTTGGTAAATCTTTTTGACCTTCTAAAGGTTTTGTAGCACCTTTAGATTTTAATAAACATTTACGAAATTGCAAAGCTTTTTTATAGAGTGCTTCTGCTTTTTTATATTTTCCTAAGTAAAAGTGAGCATCTGCATAATAAACATAAATATGGAATTTGCCATATATTGGCAATAAATCTGAATTATGTTCACTTAATGATAATATTAAATTTGCCTAAAATATAAGATAATTATTTATTAAATTTTATTATTTTTTTCAATTATATGAATCAAATATTAATATAAATTATAAAATATTCATTAATTATTATTTTTACAACTACTACAAGTACTACAATAAAACTCCATCTATATGATCTTAATGAAAAACAAGCAATTTTTAAAAATTCACATAATAATAATTCAACAATTTTCTTTACAATATTTAATTTTTTTTTTAAATTTTAGATATTCAGATATTTAATCAAATAAGTATTTAATATCTAACTCATTTTTCAAATTATGTAATATATTAATGTATCTAATATAATCTAAATTACATATTTACTTTTATAATAAACATTTTTCTAATTAAAATGATAATCATCACTAATTCAAATAAAAAAACTTGACTAAAGTTCATTAATTAGGCATTGATGAAA